ACCGGACACTCGTCACAAACTGCCCAGACTAACACGACATTCCTTACCAACTGACCAGACAAACATTGAAACTTCTAACAAACTGATAAGACAAATAAGACACTTCTCACAAAGTGACCAGACAAACAAATGTTTAAAAAATGTATGATGTGTTCAAACAATTCTTGCTGGTGATCGTGGATTGAATTACCAACTATCAGCTGTTAAATAATTGGAATATCCATCTACCAACTACAATCTTCCTATCAAATTGACGCTTATATTGTGACTAAGGTAGAACTGTCAACGGCAAGCTGATGTGAAGAAAATATGATATCATGATAACATGGTTCATATATATTTTCTAGTTGTTTTGAAAGCATTGTTACAAATAGATAATTAAAACCAAGTAGCAAACAAAAATGTATTATAAATTAAAAAAAAACGAAAAAACAAAAACAAACAAAAAAACAATAAAATAAGAGCTGTAAGAGGAGACAACAAGCTCGAGTTATTAACCTACCATACATGATGTGCTGACAAAAATGCTTATGGTAAGTCTAAAGTAGATACAAAATATAAATAATAAAAAGTATCATTTCAAAATTGCGATAGGAGCTAGACTATTAAATATTTTTATGCAAATGTTGATAAAGATAATATATTTGAAGTTTAAAGCAGCACGCCTCCAGATTCATACTAATTTTCATGGAAATTTTGAAAATGTATTTGAATGTGTAATATTGTGAAGTCACCAAAAGGAAGCAATTTACACATTGTGAATGGCACTTACAAACCACGTAAATTACCAAAAAGTGGTCAAAATATGCATAAATAGCCTCTACTGCGTTAGTAACGCAGTAGTAATATAGTTGTAAATACTGAAAAAAATCAGTCATTAACCGCACACAATATGCAAAATATAACATGAATCTTGAAAGTTTTTACTTTTCCTTACATCTTAGTTCATTTTTCTCAAGTTTGATTTTATTGAGATATTTTGACTCATCTGGAGGCGTGTAGCTTTAAAGTATATCCCTGAACAAAAAAAAATATATTAAAAAATAGAAAACATATTAAACGGAAACAATCTTTGAAGTTATGAGCCTAATAACATATGATGGGGTGATGATTTGAAGCATTTATTTGAAATGTAAAGTATATATCTCATGAAATGAAAAAGTAAGAGTTAACAATAAAAAACATATTTAAGGGGGTGGGGTAATTCAAAATATTGGCGCTAAGGATCAGAACCTCGTAGCGTATGACGTGCAACATTTATTTGAAGTTTGAAAAAGATCCCTTAAGAAATCGAAAAAGAGGTCTAAGACATATTTTACTGCATATACATTTGAAAGTCTAGACGCGTATCCGGGCGCAAGTTTTACATATACTTTGTACAGTCGAGCTAACGTTAGTCGTTACTAACATAGTAAAAGCATTTTTTTTAATATTTTGACCTGTTTTTGGTAGTTTACGTTCATTACGAGTGTCATTAATAATGTGTAAATTGCTTCCTTTTGGTTATTTCACAGTTTTATACTTTTAAATACATTTTTAAAATTTTCATGAAAATAAGCATAATTATTTATGCGTGCTGCCTTAATTGTGCCAAGTGCTAAATGCGGGCGATCTTGTGTGTCATAAAAACCATTGGCCGACTTCTTTTTCCATTTTCGTCTTTGACTTTTTCATTAAATTTTCACTATGAATGTGTACAATCATTATTAAGCTGAAACTCTTGTTTCCTCCCCTGTCGAACATTGTGTGGTCAATACCTAATGTACTTCGTTGCCAATACGATACCTTCAAAATGGTCAAACTCCAATATAGTAGTTGTATACTATATTAAGTTATTATAAGATCGGAAATATACATACATGTAGAGGTATCACTCGAGTTTATTTGTCTCGACAAAAATTTAAAATTCTCAATTGTAAATGAATTGAATAATTTAATGGTGAATTTTTGTTTGTTTTATATTTGAATATGATTTAATAAATAATTTAATCAAAGAGAAAGCAGCATCATGTTGTTTTTGTCTTCTTGTTGGTGGGAATGTTTTATGCAATATATTTTTGCTATAACTGAATGTACTTGATAAAAAATTTCAAAACTGACAAAAATATGTTTATTTTTTCACAACTGCATTTTATTACGGAATCACATGTTTCACTTATGCTTTTCCACAAGAGACGTGATTACAAAAAAAAAACAAACAAACAAACAAAAACAAAAAACGTTTTCAATAAAGATAAAAAGAGAAACCATGTCAGTAGAGCAAAATAAAGTAGAGCAAATCGTTACTGTCTGAACTTGATTATCGCAGTCAAGGGATTTGAGTTCGTTTAATGGTGAGACCTTTCTAAATTTAAAATATCTTTGTTTTTGACCAGCTCATCGCAAATTTTAATACGACATAACGCAGTGTTGTCTGCTTTACTAATACTGGTAATCAAAAATACTAAGTACTTTGTCTTCTCCAATTCTTCCGTAAAAAAATTGAATAAACATTAAATTTAACAAAAAAGTTCATAAAAATTCAGCACTAGAGGAGTAACCTTTTTGCCATGCATTACTACACCATGGCTTTTAGTATATATAGTTACAATGGTCATACGAGCATCTTCAATAATCCATATCAAAACGGAAATAATATTACCACCCGTTTTTTCCAGAAGCATGCCAGTTAATAACAATCGCACGAGTTACCACCATGTAAACAAACATTTCTTTTAGTTACATGGCCTTCGTTCCATACACACAAAAACAACTGAAGTACAACTATACGTATTGGATAAGTACAAACTAATATCACAAAACGGTACAAATAATAATCAAGCAATTAGTCTTAAGTGTCCGACCTATTTTTTAAATGGGTCGAGCACTCAAGATATCATTTTGACATATTAAGTGACCTAATGACTAAGGTTGTTGGATATAATATGAACATAAATAATAGTCAATGAATACAAGTCTCATTAATTATATAGTACAACCTCTTATTTGTAATTGTTGAAAAACCATCAGACACAGGATTTTCTTTCTCACTTTCAAAAGGCAAGTCGTTACAGTAATGACGATGTTCATCATAGACGTGCTATATGAACTCTTTAACAGTCACTTATCTTCACTTACCAAACCTCTATATTATGCCTTATTTAGAAGATTTTGACATAATTTATCTACATTTAGGTGCACTTGATAGCTTCATCACATAAAAGAATGCAGTAAAGTTATAAAACACGATTGAGGAAGTTATTTATCTATTTATTCTGTACCACTCCTCTTTGCGAGTAGTAGAGACGTACAGGAGAATAAAATTAGTAATACAAGTGCATTTGTAATAACGTATGTTTACAGTGTAACAAATTAGAAAGTATGTACAGATAAAAGATGGGTGCATGTTTGGTCATGCCCTGCTTAAAATTCCCAGTGTTTGGGCTTGCACGTGTTCAAATAGGAGAAAGTTCCAAAGAATGATAGTAGCTGGAAATTAGAAAAAAAAAATACTAATAATTACAGTGGGTATAGCTCTTTTAGAATGAATGGGGATGTATATTTCTTGTCTATCTATTTTGGGGTCTAATGCAAGGGGTAAGGGTTTAGCAACCAATTTCTGCACATTTAAAAAAAAACATGAGCCTGACATCAGACCTCCAATGTTTGTCTTATGCTCGTCATCCCAACTGAGCATGTTTGTGACATTGCTGTATGGTAAGAAGTCGTGATTTATCCAGCGTGCTGAACAATGCTGTGCCATTTCAAGAGAAAAACGGAATATCTAAAGAACACCCAAAACGACAAAACTGAAAATGTTGCAGGCTCGGTAATTTCGTGTATATTTAGTTGTGTATGAGGGTTTTGGATACAACCAGCATACTTTGGTGATGTCTGACTATGGCTTTATAAGTTAATTCCCGCTCTTCGGCATTTTCCATGGCATATTGCGTATAATGAGGTTGTGTAAGGTTGTGTATGCGGGTAGCTTGGGATGTGAAGATATGTGGACATTATAAGTTACACCAAGATGTTTGGCATCTGGAACTGTTTCTAGAATTTGGCCATGGTGCTATTATTGAGATTTAAAAGGGTTTCTTGACATTCAAGGACAATTTAAACATCTGAAATAACATATCTTTTCCTAATTTGATGCACTATTTTTTGGGGGGGGGTGGGAGTCTAGGACTGTTGAATCTTTCCTTATTTTCTTTTATATATATTGCAAGTGTCAGAGTTGAAAGTTATGGAACAGTTATTACTTTTTTTTTGGGGGGGGGGGGGGGTTACGTCACATCGACACAGTATAGGTCATATCGCGACTTTCCAGCTTTACTGGTGGAGGAAAGCCTCAGGTGCCCTTCCGTGCATTATTTCAGGCACAAACGGGCACCTGAATAAAACCACCGACATTCCGTAAGCTAGCTGGATAGCTTCCTCACATGAAAGAATCAAAAGTCCCTGTCGGGATTCGAACCCACAGCGGTGAGGGGCAAGTGGTTTGAAGTCAACGACCTTAACCACTCGGCCACGGACGCCCGCCGAACAGTTATTATAAAACCTGTTGATGCACAGGCTACAATGTAATACAAATGCCATAGGTATCATTCTCATTCTAGTAAATTTGCCATAATCCATTCAAGTGTAAGCTATAAAACCTTGTCTAAATGATGTTCGTCTGCTGTAAAGTGACTGTATATACGTTACATATTTGCCGCCAGTCCTCGGTGTTATATCTATATATAGAGCATAGGTCTTATGATGTCAACACATGTCAAATGAACTATACAGTATTATAAATAAAGAATAGAAAATCGAAACAAAGGCTCTAAGAAACCATCATGGAAAATTTCAGACCAGATAAAACAAATTAGTACAGTTTAAACGAACAGAATCTAGCTTAAGTACTTGAACAGTGATCAGCACAATGTACTCACATTTATTGCAAAACAGTAATTTATTTTTTTTGATGAAATACCCTTGTGTAAATAAACATAAAAAGTTACAAAATCAAAGAACAATTTTGATACGAGAATTACATTTTATTTATATCAAAACACAATTGACTTAATCTAAATGCAGCATAATATATACTACATTTCTATATACATGTAAATGATACCAAAAGCACTAACTTGATTCTATCTGTATATCATTTACCGGTATATCTGACCATATATTATATCAACTGTGGAATACTAAGTCATTAAAGAGTTTTGATATACATGTACATACAATGTATTTACAAGTATAACGCCCTGGTGCAACACTGATTAGCTAAAGGCAGTGTTAAAGATGGTGCATCCCTTTGTCTAAAATAACTTCATAACATTTAACCATTTTAAAATAAAAGAATATAGTAATATATTTCAGGTTTATATCTTTCAATAATTCTTCGTTGTATATGCATATCATGCCTTTTGGGAGTAAAGATAACAAGAGGGCCATGATGGCCCTAAGGTCGCTCACCTGTATGTAGGCCCCCGGAGCGGGGCCAGTTTAAACCCCAGGGCTTTTATTTGAACAAACTTGGAAGACACCTATAAGAGGACGTTTCATGATGTACACACTTATAATGAAAAACAATGATCTGCCCTCCCCTACCCCCGGCAGGGCCAATTTTAACCAAGGGCTTTTATTTGAACAAACTTGGTAGACACCCATAAGAAGATGTTTCATGCTAAACATCTAAGCTGTAGCTCATTGTGTTTTTTTAAAGAAGATTTTTTAAGTTTTTACTATACACATATAGTTAAAAACAATGATACCCCTGGGGCGGTGCCAGTTTTGACCCCAGGGCTTTTATTTGAACAAACTTTGTAGACACTTACTAGAACATGTTTCATGCTTAATATCTAAACTCTAGCTATTTGGGTTTTTTCAAAAGATGTTTTTTAAGTTTTTCCTATACACATATAAGGAAAATCAATGACCCCCAGGGCAGGGCCAATTTTGACCCAGGGCTTTTATTTGAACAAACTTTGTAGACACTCACTAGAAGATGTTTCATGCTTAATATCTTAACTCTAGCTATTTAGGTTTTTTCAAAGAATACTTTTTAAGTTTTTGATATACACATATATAAGGAAAATCAATGACCCCCGGGGCGGGGCCAATTTTGACCCCAGGGCTCTTATTTGAACAAACTTGGTAGACACCCATTAGAACATGTTTCATGCTAAATATCTTAGCTCTAGCTCTTTGAGTTCTTTAAAAGAAGATTTTTTAAGTTTTTACTATACACATGTACATATAGGGAAAATCAATGACCCCCTGGGGCGGGGCCAATTTTGACCCCAAGGCTTTAATTTGAACAAACTTGGTAGACACCCATTAGAACATGTTTCATGCTAATTAAATATCTTAGCTCTAGCTCTTTGAGTTCTTTAAAAGAAGATTTTTTAAGTTTTTACTATATACATATAGGGAAAATCAATGACCCCCTGGGGCGGGGCCAATTTTGACCCCAGGGCTTTTATTTGAACAAACTTGGTAGAAACCCATTAGAACATGTATCATGCTAAATATCTTAGCTCTAGCTCTTTGAGTTCTTTAAAAGAAGATTTTTTAAGTTTTTACTATATACATATAGGGAAAATCAATGACCCCCTGGGGCGGAGCCAATTTTGACCCCAGGGCTTTTATTTGAACAAACTTGGTAGACACCTATTAAAACATGTTTCATGCTAAATATCTTAGCTCTAGCTCCATGAGTTCTTTAAAAGAAGACTTTTAAATTTTTACTATATGCATACAGGGAAAATCAATGACCCCCTGGACGAGGCCAATTTTGACCCCAGGGCTTTTATTTGAACAAACTTGGTAGACACTCATTAGAAGATGTTTCATGCTAAATATCTTAGCTCTAGCTCTTTGGGTTCTTTAAAAAAAGATTTTTTAAGTTTTTACTATATGCATATAGGGAAAATCAATGACACCCTGGGGCGGGGCCAATTTTGACCCCAGGGCTTTTATTTGAACAATCTTGGTAGACACTCAGTAGAAGATGTTTCATGCCAAATATCTAAGCTCTAGCTCTTTCGGTTTTTTAAAAGAAGATATTTAAAGTTTTTTCTTTTGGTTGCCATGGCAACCAGAGTTCTGCATGGAATTAAATTCTTTGAACAATTTTTAAAGGTGACCACCAAAGGAACATTCCTGTGAAGTTTGGATGAAATTGGCTAAGTGGTTTATGAGGAGATGTCATTTAAAGTAAAAGTTTACGGACGGACGCCGGACGGACGGACGCCGGACGAAAAGCGATCACAAAAGCTCACCCTGTCACTTTGTGACAGGTGAGCTAAAAATTGTGAACGCATTTCACTAGATACTCGCATTTCACTAGAACTCGCATTTCACTGAATTTCACTAGATACTCGGGTGCAGATTAAGGACTTTTTGCAAAGGTTGATCACAAAATTTTGGCAAAGTGCATATTTCAGAGAGGGTTGTTATTATACTAGGTTCACTTAATCTGCCACTCTCTAGATCTGTGCATAATATTTTCTAAACAGTTTATTGACAGGGAGAACACATTTACAAACTGAAATTATAAAAAAAATCATGAAAATCAGGCATCTGGAAGACATGATTCCATTGATTCTTATCATGAGGACAGACATATAACTTTTTACTATCCCAAAATGGGCTAAGATGAATTACAAAATGATCTTTAGACACCCTTAGATAATGTTATTGCACTGTCAATTTAAGCGTTTTGACAAAAGAATATCACCATCAAATAACTGATGTTTTATCACCAAAACAATAATCTATAATTACTAAAAAAACAAAACATCTTACAAAAATGTAAGAATAGTGTTCATGTCAACAAAATCACGAAAAAAGCACAACAAATATCACATTTAATTTTTTGTTACAACATTGATTTTATGCTCATCTAGTACAAAAAAAACCCAGAAAATAACCCAAAGTAAAAGTTTGAACAAAAAGCATGTTATTTATTTTTCTAATTTCCAACAATAGGTTTTCTTATGTGGTATATACAGAAAAAAAGAAAGATTATGGAATGTCAGTGTGTATATATCAATGTTTTATATAACAGGAAAAATACCAAGAAAATATCTCTCAAAACGTGTGTTTCATGGCATCTTAGAAGGATAACTTTGAATTAAGTATTTTTAAGTTATTGATAAGATAAGTTTGTTTTTTACACAAAGTGTTACTATGATCTTTGGCCTAATAACCTCAAGACCAATAGAGGCCATCTACTGGTTGTGTGCAATGTCCTTACCAAGTTACATATACCACTGCTTATACCTTCTGACAAAATTGTTCAGACAAAAATAACAGGACCTACATACGAAAAGATGACCCACCCAATCACAGTATGCTCCTCGTTTTTAAGTGGTGGCATAAAAATTGTTATAAACAAAAACATTGTTACAAAGTATGGCAAGAATTTATCCCACATGTATAAATAATCTATCAAAAATTTCAACCCTGAAATAAACTGTTTTGTGTCAAGCAATAATTAAAAAACAAATATGGAAGATAATTGCAAAAGTATAAATGTTCCTGGCCATGTTATGGTTAGTATATTTTCATCTTTTAAGTTATACTTTAATGTAAAATTACATGCAACAAAAGTATGGTTTTCAAATTTATCATCTACTTCAAACGTTATTTCAAATGCAACAGTACTTTAAATTGCAAAAAGGTGCAAGCATAATTATATTACGGGACACTAAAAATGCTGATATAAAAGTAAGTTTTGAAAATGTAAAAATTTGATACAACAAAATAAAGCACTAATTTTCTAACATATGGCAATATCATATACTACTAAGTGTAATATACACGTGTATAATTAATCAATACAAATTTGTATCTACACAATATACAAAAAATAATGGCATCTTCACAATCTTCAACTACAAAATGTATTATGTTCCAAAACAGTAAGTGGGAAAATCTGTAAAGCAAGGATCAGGTATTCCTTAAAAAGATAGCATTGCGACTTCAGAATCTGGGCAAGAGTTTATAAAAAAATTTTCGTAGCTCAAACTCAGATCTCAAGTATTTGATTGGTCAGAAACTGTCACCGAATGTACACTGACCAATGAAAATCCTGAGATTAGAGACAGAACTCACAAAAAGACAAAAAGTTTAATTACCCCAAAGACAGGTTTCAAAATACAATATACAGAAATTATTCAACCTGACTCAAGTTCAGACCTTCTTATGCTTATAAAGCTTTATAAACAAGTTGATTCTTAATCTGACTGTGTAACTATTTCAGGTCTATTTGAAATGACGTCACTTTTCAATAGGAAACAAAAACACATTTCTAGCCATACTATATATTTAAAACTAAAACTATTGTAGAAAACATTAGTAATGTAGATAAGGACAAAGTGATTACCTCTGGTTAGTTTATTAGGGAATATAAATTACATCTTTTATTTAGAAATATAAGTAATGTTCTTCAACCTTTTGTTTGTTTCAAACAATCAAGGCAGTGTTTTATGATTGATTTTTCCCATTTAAAATCAAATTTTTTGCAAAAATTAAAAAGCTGTTTAACGTAAGGTGGCCCTTGGGGTCAAAACTCATAAAAGGGGAAAAACCCTTTAAAAAAAAGCCTGCTGGTTAAAATGTTCGGGGAAAGTCGTTACATTGAATGTTTGACAAATTTCAATAAAAAAAAAAAAAAAAGGCAAATCAAAATACCCCTAAAATATTAAATAGAAAAAACTTTCCCAATTAAAATTTTAAAAAGTTGTTTTTTTAAAACCGGAAAAATTTTTTATTTTTTTTTTTTTTTTGTTAAAAAAGGGGTTTAGCATCTAAATGACAAAAAAAATAAGCAAAAAAGAATATATACGTTGAAAAAAAAAAAGCCGGGAAATCTAAAAATTCTGTAAAAACATATTTTCAAAACCTGTTTTGAAAATAAGTAAAAAAATCCCTGAAAGTATGTAAAAAAAAGGAATGGTTTTTAAAATGCTGTTGGTATGACCTGATAACTAAATGACAAATGAAACAAATTTTAATGATGAAACTGACCAAAGCTGCAATGAACAAAAGACATGTTTTTTCTAATAAATTACAAATACATTACAAAGCTATATCTCTTTTATGAAATATTTGTTAAAATTATGTTACTTTCAGAATCTTATGATGGATTCTAGCAAGCACTGTAACATAGTGTCTCTTAAAATTTAGCACACATAATATTGTAGGTAAACAAAAAACAATATTCTGTAACAAAATATAAGGCAGCTATTTTAATCTGGATTTTAATCCTTTAGCAAATGATTTCATGTATTTTAAGGAAATATACAAACATATTTCTTTCATATATATATGTATTTAGAAACTATTCTTTTCAAGATTCAAACATTAATTTTGAAACCTCCCTGCAGGAGCTTATAATAGTAAAGCTTTATACACTTTAAGATCACTGAAAGATACTCAAATTTTGGAGGTAATTCTTCTACATGTATGTAACATAGAACCCAGGTCTATTAGTACCACACTATGCAAAGCTGCGCAGGATGCTGCACTTTCTAAAAATATTTTTTGTTCCCTAAATTACCCTAAATGTATAATCATAACAATCAAACCACAAGACTTTTTTTATCCCTCATTCTATATAGCCTTATATTCATATATACACCATATTATAGAAAGTGATTCAGAAGTTCTTTTGGAATTACATAGATAATGAAACACAAAAATGGAATGATTTTTTGTTGCTTAAATCTTAAATACATTTAGAAATAAAAAATAATGGGAAATGCAATAAGTGGAATGTTAAAAAAACATCAAAATAATATATTTACATACACATACAACGCATTCAGAGATCTTACAAAAAAAAGATAATATATATCTATGAAAAACAAAACTGGTAAAAAAAAAACTTTGTTCATTTACAAACCTTTGTGTCCGACACTTTGTTTTATCATACATTAAAAAAAATAATAAACTTTGTTATAAACTTTAAATAAATTAAACTTTCAAAAATTTAAAGGTTTTACATGGTTATAAAAAATAAACATCTGTAAATAAAAAAATAAAAAATAATATAGATTTCACTATCATTCATTGATACTCCCGCAATACCAATTAGCGATCACTTAATTAAAGTATAAATATGCATAAGAAAACAACATTTTAACGCTATTCACTAAAATTAATTATAAATTGATATTTTGAAGTCTTTAAGATATTTACTTCTTTATTTCTTCTTGTTATAAATATAAAACTTCTGAAATTTTCTCATCGTTATCTATTCATATTTATTTTTAAAATTTCAAGGGTAATTCACTTTTTTATTTTTGATGTCAATGACACTGTTAATGTTTTTTGATGTCATTTGTAAAATGACCTTAACAGTTGTTTTCTCATGTCTGCGTTCTAAATATAACTTTGCTTACAACTAGCAATCATGATTATTCTCATTCATATACGTACGTCAGATCAAGATTTTACTTTTGTGGAGCTAAAACCTTAAAACCAACATTTTACTTTGTGGAGCTGAAACTTTAAAACCCACATTTTACTTTGTGGAGCTGAAACCTTAAAACCAACATTTTACTTTGTGGAGCTGAAACCTTAAAACCAACATTTTACTTTGTGGAGCTGAAACCTTAAAACCAACATTTTACTTGTGGAGCTGAAACCTTAAAACCAACATTTTACTTTGTGGAGCTGAAACCTTAAAACCAACATTTTACTTTGTGGAACTGAAACTTTAAAACCAACATTTTACTTTGTGGAGCTGAAACCTTAAAACCAACATTTTACTTTGTGGAGCTGAAACCTTAAAATCAACATTTTACTTTGTGGAGCTGAAACTTTAAAACCAACATTTTACTTTGTGGAACAGAAACCTTAAAACCAACATTTTACTTTGTGGAGCTGAAACCTTAAAACCAACATTTTACTTTGTGGACCTGAAACCTTAAAACCCACATTTTACTTTGTGGAGCTGAAAACAAACTGACAAAAGAGAAATACATGTACTGTGCAATCACTAAATGGGCCTTGTTCGAGGCAACATACATCAAAACTAGTTTGTAAATGCAAAAAAAAATAACAATATTTTATAATGTATAAGAATTTCTTTGAAAAAAACAAAAACAAAATGAAGACATAACAACAAAAACAAAACAACCAACATTAACATCACAATTTCTAAGCAAAATGAATATATCATTGAAGCTCTACATATGAATTATATCATTGATAATTTAACATTTTACAGTTTGTAACTATATCAACTATCCAATGTAAAAATCTGATAAAGGGGTGATATGAAAACAACAATATTACATGAAAATTGCAGACTATGAATTAGCATTGCCACTAGAACATTTAATCTGGAACAAAATGTAATATATAATAAAATATTATATAATAAAATGTTTCTCGGTGCCCAATCTAAGTGGCTTTTTAACTTCTCAAATTTTTTAAATCATATAACCAGTAAAAGAGGTATCATTGACAAATAAAGTATTTCTATTTATTAAGATTTATATGGTATAAAAAATTTTAATTTTCATCTTTCTTGAAAAAATCTGAAACAAACTTTCCTACATTTACCTTATGTTTTGTTCTTAATTGATTACAATATATAACTTAAATACCTTGTTGTACAGCTACTTTTATATCACAATTATAATAATAATTTTGGGGACTGAAACTAATAAATTTCCTTTATTTGTAAAGTTATTCTAAATTACAAAGAAATCTTTAAAATATATTTTTTATAATAATTTTTCAAACATAATTCTATAATGTAATTCACAGCATATAAACTTATCCCCAACAATTATTTTTTACAGAATTATAACACAATAATAGTAATAATTTGATGGCATACAATTTAAGCTTTAAACTTTCCTCCTACAATGCTCCTCTCTCAAAATTTCACTACAACTGTAGACAATATTTTCTTACATTTGTTACAACTATGAAAACAACAACAACAGCAACAACAACAACAACAACATTCAATAAATATATATAAGAAGCAGGACAATGAATGGCAGCACCACTCTGGCAGAAAATTTCACCGTCGTACATTTGCGATGAACAAGTGGAAGCGAAGTACATTGCACACGTCGTCATCGTTTGCCCGAGTATAAATGATCCAGTGTCCAGATCACGTATTCTTAAACACTTCATCTTCAGCACTGAAAAATATGAGCAATTACTTAATTTTTATTACATGTACATGTTTTTAAGTAGATAACCTATTTCTAAAGTTTTTAAGTTGACAGTAAAATTATATTTTGATAATTCACAGTAAAATTATTAAAATATAACTTTCACAGAAGCCGTACTATATTTGAATGTTTGATGAACAGCAAATATAAATATCCCATATAAATAGCCCATGCATATGTTATTTAAAGCATGAACAGGCGCATGAGTAGAACCACCAATGTTTTGTAAGCTAGCTTGATTACTAAGCTCCCTCACATGAAATAAACCAAAGTCACTATTAGGATTTTAACCCATGGCAATAATTTGGAGACACTACTAGATTTTTACAGTTTTGAAAGTTTGTTTAGGACCACTAAACACTACTGTATTAATCTATAGTATTTTCCCAACAAAGACTTTTATAAATTACTTTTTTTTCTCATTTGAAACTAAAAATTCCTTAACTTAAATCCACTCTATGGCTTAAAACTTAATTACATGATGCAACTTGTTTTTTCAATTGGTAAAGAATGTTCGCCTTCATTGCAAGTGGGAATATCTGATAGTTAATAAGCAGAGATCAGCCAAAGAAAGAAATAAGCAAAACACACCCAAAGTACCAGTAAGTATCCTGTTAAGATTTTATTAGTTTTATCTACCTTAAAGATATATATTATGCTCAAATTTAATAAATGAATATAATTTTCCCTTGTAAATATAAAGTCAACATGTTTTGAGTTCACACAAAGTGGAATATAATTATGTATGTTTTTAACTCTACACACTATAGGAGACCACATTATGATTATATTGTATCATTAACAAAACTGGCAGGTTTTTTTAGGACAAACTAATTTACTTGAAGTGTAATGGGAATGCAGTTTCCCATTAATAATTTGGAAATTCTTTTATTCAAATCAGACATATTCAGTAAGAATTTCATAGATTTCATTAAATTCCTGTAATAAAATTATTCCACTTAAAGATGAATATACTATATCTTTAATTGTATGGAACTTTACCCTTTACTTTACTAAGAAACTAAGATCTTGAACTTGCATTATGTCAAAAACAATTGTCACCTTAGTGCAATAACTGGATAACTCTTATCAAATTTAGAAGGACTTAGCTTGTTACTGCACTAAGGTGGCACAGTGCTTCATAATTAATTTTAAAATTGAAGCTGCAATCTGACATATAAGTGTTACCCTCATTTGTCTTGTCAATAATGGTCAAATTATCATTAAATAAACTCCCCTAGCTAGCTTGTTTGATAATTAAGACCAACACTCCTTTACTATATTAGTAATAAAGTCTTTGACAGGTTATAGGCCCTATATAAATAGTTGTTGCATAACCCAAGTGGCCAGGTGAGGTTTATGTTGCAAAAGACCGTTTATATACTGCCACATATGATCTGCCAGTAATCTTTATAATGAATTTATAACACAGCAAATTTCCTTTTGTAAGAAAAAAAAAAGAGAAAGATTTTTTCATTAATTGACAGCAGCCATGTATATAAAACGTCACAATTATCTAATGAAAAGCGAAGATACAAACATGCAGTATTGTAATATTTAATATGCATGTATATTAAATATAGTAAATAGGTGCAGGAAAGTCATTTTGTTCGAGAATTTTATGATAATTTGACCATTATTGGCATGGCAAATAAGCTTAACACCTATCATCTTACCATCTAACACTGTCAACAATGCATGTACATAAATGAAAAGGAAAGAGAGAGCATGCATAAATATATAAGATATGCACAGTGTTCCCAATTCACTTCCCATAAAATTACATGTTTACTATTTGTTTCAGAGAAATTTGAACTTCTTTTTCCTACCTTTGTTTAAACGCAATTTCTGTTACAATTTGTGTTTTTTATGAACCCGTATTCTTCGATATTTATTAACAACTTACTTTTTCAAAGTTCTAAACACATTTCATATTTTACATAAAGACTCAAAGGGAAAGGTAAAAGGGAGGTAACTGAGTCACAAAAATGCAGTAAGTTTAACAATTTTAGTTATCTTTTCTTTCCAAAAGTAAAACAATTGCTTAGATCTGACAGTGAATGTTTAAGTGCATTTTTGTGCAATAAAACATGGATTTTTCATCAGATTGTGAAAGATAGTTAGCTTATATGTTCTCTGTAGATTGTTTAAATTCCCATTATAAATGCCATATATAGTACCCATGTTTGACCTTGACCTTGATCTTACATCTGACACATTATCTCTTGCCGATGGAACATTTATCTTAAGTATATTTTCATATTTTTGTATTTTGAAAATCCTTCAAGCAAGTTATCAACTGGATTAGTGCCTTGGAGGGACAAGGTGATAACCACACTTTTTAGGGAATAAAAGCAAACAATTATATTTGATTACCCAATCCCAACCCCCCCCCCCCCCCCACCCAAACACAAAACCCCAAAAATCTGCCATGCCAAATTTAGGATTATTTCAGCTTGTGCTTATAACAATTCTTACAGAACAACAAATATACATTATATTATAATAAGAAATAAGTGCAAGACAGAATACACATGACAAGAGAAACAACTAAGCTTACCTTTTAGAGCGCTTTAATGAAGCTTGGCAGGTAGACTGATCACCTCTGGGAATAAAGCATAAGAGATTGCAGAAAATATAGCGGAAGAAAACATTAAGAACACAAACGCAATTATTACAGAAAATTTCATAATACATGTATTAATATATCCCTGACTTCAAATCTCCATTCATTTCTTACTCATACATTTAACTTGTTAAATTTGTTATTTCTTTTGACAACCACTCCAACAAGACCAGCTATATTTTCTCGATTCTTGGTTATTACGTTGACTTTAACACATGTTTTTGGTTATATCTTTACAGTCAAACCACAAAATCGACTGTCCTGGATAACTAACCAGGAAATACCAATTTCTTTCTTAAGTGACTAACTTGTAACTTATCCCACATTATTTCAGAATCAGCAGTGAGAGAGAAATGACCATTTGAGTCCATTTCCGAGATCAATGGTCAAAGAGTTATGGTTAACATGCCCATCTGCTCAGCTTAATAAACAGAGCCTCAGATCAGTACTTCAGGGATCATAGTTTGATCCTCGGGCAATCCGTTATTTTTTCTTTGATCTTTGTTCTCGGACATGGACTCAAATGGTCAAAGAGAAATAACGGATTGCCCCAGGATCAAAGTACCAAACCCTGGATTAATGATCCGGTGCTCAGTCTATAAAGCTGAGCAGGTTAACATGTCAACCCAAGGTTTGATCCATTTTCTATGGTTTCATTAACTTATTTTTTTTATAAGTTTGTAATGTTATTAACTGTATGAGTAATATCATTAAATGTATGAGTAATTCATGAATTGATTACTTTATTTGTTAAAGAAAATTTCAATACCTAGCATTAATTACAGAGACAAAGAAAAACACGCACACACATACATTAAATTACTACTACTTTGCGAAATGAGAAATATAGTGATAGAGAACATTAATAGTAAAACATGTCTAGTTAAATAAACCAATATAATTATACTTTTTTTGTATGTAAACAAAGCAAGCTTTCATCATATATGATCCAATGATAAAATAAGAACTGTCACACATCCACCAATTCTATGACTTAGCATTTTATGTAGGTCAATTTATTAAAATTTTTTAAAGAATATTTAAAGATAAGATGACAAAAATTCCTTCAATGTGAATAGCATTTATTGTGCAGACATGAAGATAGCTTACAAATAATCTTTCAGTTTGAAAATGACCTTGAATTGGCACAAAGGTGGCATTGTTTCAACACATAGAGTTGTTAAGGTGGATATTTTAGCAACGTTAAAAAAAAATCTTTCCTTGGGCATTTGATTTATAAAGCAACATTTGACCTATAAGTGTGACCATGACCTCGAGCAAACCCAGTCACAGGATGAGATCTGCAAACATCAAAGTCAAATTTGAAGAAAATTCTTACATGGGTATAACAGAGCAGACACAAAAGAGACAAACCAACAAACCGTCACCACAATCTGGTTTCCAGGATTGCCCCCATATACAGTATGTTGGTGAGAATATAATTTGTCTAAAATTGAACATATCGCAGCCACTATGCACCACACAATTATAATCCCTGCCCACCTGGACACCATTGATGAATATCGAGGACTTTAATTTTTTATATTTTCAAATCCATAAAATTGATCAAGCCTTGAAAGGAAAATCATATGTTTAAAAATTGCCACACAATGTCCACACACTGCAATTCAGAAATAGCCCCTGCTCATTTCATGCCAAAACTGAGCCACTATGCTTACCTGCCACTGCAGGGACAGATCGAAAGAGAAAAATTGGCTGAGTTGCTTTCACACTATCCTGAGGCAGTGGAAAAGTGAAGTTACAATAAACTTGTGCATAACATGTATATTTCTGTCCACAGAATGCAAAAATACTTTTCGTTCTAACATGAAATTCACAAAATTCACAAAAAATTGGAACTTACAATATTGATAAATCCTAATTTAATATAAAACCATAAAAAAATTGTGTTACAGGATGTTTAACATCAATGACATCTTTTTCTTTATTTACTTTATAACTGAAAAAAAATGTGATTGGTAAATGGTAAGACAGTGTGCTCCATGAATATTGAGAGAATAATGTAAAAGGAAATAAACTGTGTAAAACAGACAAAAATTAGATACTAATGAGCTAAACCTAAAAATTTAACTGATTTTCAATATCAAGAACTAAAATCATTTTATAAATATAACATGTTAATTGAATAATCTTCCTTTTTCCCAATGTTCCCAAAATCATTAGACAAATGATGAATCCCAATAACCTTGTTCACATACATTACATGTACATATTTTTATTTTCACAAAATATATTTTCTATACTTTAAAGGCCCATTATAATGTCATAGAAATCATTTTATTTTAACTTCTCAGAAGCTTTTTATTTAATATACATGTAGTGATACATTATAGTTTCCAAAAAGTCACTCATTGGCCAATTATCTGGACCAATTTTTGCTTCTGTTGCTTTCTGGGAAATAGAACAGTTATAGTGATTTAGTATTCTGTATGGAAGTCAAAATACTACTTTGTTTACATTTTGTTACTTTTATGACAAGTATAATTTCACATTCAGTGCTACTTTCTTCAGGTGATAAGCATCTAACATATCTAAAATCATTATTTAAACATTATAATTAAACTCATGTTTGTCCTCTCTTAAGTGGTTTCTGAAGCATAATGTGCCTTTAACCATGTAATAATCTGATAAATGTACAATATTACTATTACTCTATAAAACATACAACTACAACTACAAATTATATGATATAATATTATTATAATAGTATTAAATAACAAGAATTTTAGTAACTTACAGCTCAAAGGAATATAGGGAATCTGATTAGGAGAAGGAAAGCAATTGGTGTTAGATATGAAATCACTGTGCTACAGATTTGAATAATGTAGATTTGCCTACATATTTTAATTGCAATAAATCTACAAAAGCCACTTCAAAGTTTATATAGCCAGCTAGCTGCAAAGCATTTCAGATCTAGTATGCATCGAAAATATTTAAAAAGGGGCAATAACTCTGTTCAATCAGTTAGTAGACACAACTGTGGCCACATGATAGGAAAATTGAAGACTAGAACTTATATCTTAAACAACTTTTGTAAAATTTTGTAACAAAAATCTGGCTAGGAATTGACAGAATCAAACACATGTAGATTCATCACTACAGGGCGACAAAAAGTTCCTACCCAGGGTTCATAGCTCCAGTTTTGTAACTTGTTGTTTAAGTTTATCAAACTACAAGAATGTGGCAATTTAAAGACCTAGACTACATTGTCTATCACAACCTGTTTTTACAATGGTCTTCTTAAAAAAAATGTCACACAAATGGTCAAAGGTTAGACACTATGACCATGTGTTTAAATACATTATATTTTAACCATATATTGTTAATGGGTAGGGAATGTTACGGCTGAAGACTACAAAATGAGTCATTGTTATGAACAAGTGTAGACAGTTGCCATTGAGATGAAAACACTGAAAGAATTGAACACATTTAGTTCTATATCAAACACATCAATACAAACATTTAGGACAAACCAACCCTTGAAACACCGTCCCACAGCCCCGAGCAGTTATTTGGCAATTTATAGGGACAACTATATTGGAATTACCTGTTTTAATGATTCCATTTTTTTCGTCGTAAACTAAACAAAAATTGTAAGAGAAGCTTACAAAACTTAACAGATAACATTTTGTAACCTTAGTGCTCTAACGGATTTACTCTTTTTATAAGAAAATAGGAGTTAACCTACTACAGCACTGAGGTAACGATTTGTAATGCCAAAAAACATAAAAAAAACAAGATAATATTATTATACATGCCTTACTCTTTAACTTGTGAATTTTCATTATGGGTTTTCCCAAGCTTTGAATTTGGAACAGTTCATTCTAAGGTTAAGGGATTCAAATATCAAAATATGAAAACTTCAAGCAACCACCAATATAGAGCCTGGTTACTCTGTACATACATATAGGCAAGCCAGGCTCTATACTGGTGGCAAAGGCTGATCACCTCCACTTACAGCAGGTTAACTGTTAAACAATATGACATAAAAAGCGGTGGTGGTGTCTTTCACTTCATTGCTAAGCACAATTCAGCAGTAATTAGTTTAATTTCCAATAAAACAAAATATTCAAATAACTTCCATAAAATAGTAACATTTCATAGATAAAAAATATACTAGACTGCTTGATTTATGACCAGATTTGCATTCTTCCTTTTCCTGTGGGCTTATTTTTTTTCTCTATTTTTTTATCTAAATGAATTTTTCTATTGTGTACTTTGAAATAATACTGTATATATTGATTAAAGATGTCCTCTGAAATATCATGGTTCAAGATCTGTTATTATTGTTTGGTTGTTGGGTTTTACGTTGCATCAACACAGTATAGATCATATGGCGACTTTCCAGCCTTACTGGTGGAGGAAAACCTCAGGTGCTCTTCTGTGCATTAGATCAGCTGATAATCAGGATTTCCTATATTATAAACTCAGCACTTACTCTTGCTTTTTAGAAAAATCTAGTATACATAAATGTATAAACAAGAATAAAGAAAGGTATACAATTCTATTTTTAGCCCTAGTGACCTTGGCCTAATTAACGTGACACTCTAAACAGCCACATGAAGAACATCATATTTCTACAAAATAGGATAGTCATTGTACATATATATATATAATGACATTGTCAAAGACTTACATAACTTCAGACTCTCTTTCTTCTGCTACCAATGACAGCTTGTTACGTCTCTGTACATCGGGAACTTAAAAGTCAAGGTCATATGTCAGATAAAATATTTAAAAACAGTATGAAGGTCAATGTCATAATTATAGCAATAAAATATAACATTAATGTAGCACAACAATACACAATGAACCCATTAGATGTGAAAAATGAACATGTCCTGTTATTTGTGTTATACAGGCTGTACGAAATGTAAAAGTATTCAATTTTTCAACAACAAGCACTTTTTTTGGTTTTCAACCAAACTTTGTCTGCATCTTTCTTTGAAATTGTTGTACACAATACTGAATGTTACTATAGATAACACTGATTTCTATATCATGATTGATAATGAATAGTACAGATAATATTGTATTATTTTGGTTGTATTATTTTGGTTAGGTTTTACATTGCATCTCATTAAAGATCAGCTTTTGGTTGAGGAAGATGTATTACTTCAGGAAGCAACAGACATCTGAGTAACAAGAGGGCCATGATGGCCCTGAGGTCGCTCACCTGTATATAGGCCCCCCCAACCCCCCCCCCCCCAACGTTGCAGGGCCAATTTAACCCAAGGGCTTTTATTTGCACAAACTTGGTGGACACCCATAAGAAGACGTTTTATGCTAAACATCTAAGCTCTAGCTCATTGGCCTTTTTAAAAGAAGATTTTTTTAAAGTTTTTACTATACACATATAGTTAAAAACAATGACACCCCTGGGGCCGGGCCAGTTTTGACCCATGGGCTTTTATTTGAACAAACTTTGTAGACACTTACTAAAAGATGTTTCATGCTTAATATCTTAACTGTAGCTATTTGGGTTTTTTCAAAGAAGATTTTTTTTAAGTTTTTACTATACACATATAAGGAAAATCAATGACCCCCGGGGCGGGGCCAATTTTGACCCCATGTCTTTTATTTGAACAAACTTTGTAGACACTCACTAAAAGATGTTTCATGCTTAATATCTTAACTGTAGCTATTTGGGTTTTTTCAAAGAAGATTTTTTAAGTTTTTACTATACACATAAGGAAAATCAATGACCCCCGGGGCAGTCCGAATTTTGACCCCAGGGCTTTTATTTGAACAAACTTGGTAGACACCCATTAGAACATGTTTGATGCTAAATATCTTAGCCATAGCTCTTTGAGTTCTTTAAAAGAAGATTTTTTAAGTTTTTACAATATGCATATAGGGAAAATCAATGACCCCCAGGCGGGGCCATTTTGACCCCAGGGCTTTTATTTGAACAAACTTGGTAGACACTTATTAGACCATGTTTTATGCTAAATATCTTAGCTCTAACTCTTTTGGTTCTTTAAAAGAAGATTTTTTAAGTTTTTACTATATGCATATAGGAAAAAATCAATGAACCCTGGGGCGGGGCCAATTTTGACCCCAGGGCTTTTATTTGAACAAACTTGGTAGACACCTATTAGAACATGTTTGATGCTCAATATCTTAGCCATAGCTCTTTGAGTTCTTTAAAAGAAGATTTTTTTAAGTTTTTACTATAAGCATATAGGGAAAATCAATGACCCCCCCGGGCGAGGCAAATTTTGACCCCAGGGCTTTTCTTTGAACAAACTTGGTAGACACCCATTAGAACATAATTGATGCTAAATATCTTAACTCTAGCTTTTTGGGTTCTTTAAAAGAAGATTTTTTAAGTTTTTACTATATGCATATAGGGAAAATCAATGACCCCCTGGGGCAGGGCAAATTTTGACCCCAGGGCTTTTATTTGAACAAACTTGGTAGACACCTATTAGAACATGTTTCATGCTCAATATCTTAGCCATAGCTCTTTGAGTTCTTTTAAAGAAGATTTTTTAAGTTTTTTACTATATGCATATAGGGAAAATCAATGACCCACGGGGCGGGGCAAATTTTGACCCCATGTCTTTTATTTGAACAAACTTGCTAGACACCCATTAGAACAAGTTTGATGCCAAATATCTAAGCTCTAGCTCTTTGGGTTCTTTAAAAGAAGATTTTTTAAGTTTTTACTACATGCATATAGGGAAAATCAATGACCCCCTTGGGCTGGGCCAATTTTGACCCCAGGGCTTTTCTTTGAACAAACTTGGTAAACACCTATTAGAACAGGTTTGATGCTCAATATCTTAGCCATAGCTCTTTGAGTTCTTTAAAAGAATATTTTTTAAGTTTTTACTATATGCATATAGGGAAAATCAATGCCCCCCCCCCCCCCGGGCAGGGCCAATTTTGACCCCAGGGCTTTTATTTGAACAAACTTGGTAGACACCCATTAGAACATGTATCATGCTAAGTATCTTAGCTCTAGGTCTTTGGGTTCTTTAAAAGAAGATTTTTTTAGTTTTTACAATATGCATATAGGGAAAATCAATGACCCCCCGGGGCGGGGCCAATTTTGACCCCAGGGCTTTTATTTGAACAAACTTGGTAGACACTCACTAGAAGATGTTTCATGCCAAATATCTAAGCTCTAGCTCTTATGGTTTTTTAAAAGAAGATATTTAAAGTTTTTTTCTTTCGGTTGCCATGGCAACCAGAGTTCTGCATGGAATTAAATTCTTTGAACAAATTTTAAAGGTGACCACCAAAGGAACATTCCTGTGAAGTTTGGATGAAATTGGCTTAGTGGTTTATGAGGAGATGTCATTTAAAGTAAAAGTTTACGGACGCCGGACGGACGCCGGACGAAAAGCGATCACAAAAGCTCACCCTGTCACTTTGTGACAGGTGAGCTAAAAAAAACCACCGATACTCAGTGAGCTAGCTGGATAGCATTCTCACATGAAAGAATTCAAACTTTTTAGTCGGATTCTAACCTACAGTGGTGAGGGGCAAGTGGTTTGAAGTCAGCCACCTCAACCGCTTGACCACATTGATGCCCCTATATTAATTGGTAATACAGGTTAACCCTGTAAGTGCTGGAACCGAAAGCGTCAAGCCTTTGCCACCAGTATAGAGCCAGGCCAGCCTGCACATCCGTGCAGTCTGATCAGGCTCTATACTATTGGCAGACAAATTTTAAATATTCAAATTGATATCGCTAAAATTGATAATGGACCGTCCCAAAAATGGAAGTGGGGCAAGTCCATTTAAATACTCAGCATGTTCAGGGTTAAAGAAGTATTTTACCAGGATCTAGAGAATGTGATTTCTTCACACGTCTGAACGCTCGAGCTAATTCAGTTTCTCCGTGTTCCGCCTCTACAGGTGACAACAATTCGCTCTCACTATGTGTCCTCTTCATCTTGTTCTGAAAAACAGGCAAAATTTCCAGGTTTTTTGTTAAATCTTTATCACATTAAAGGGACTCCACTGAAGTCTTTTTGACATGACAGGAATGAGAATAATTTAGGAATGAGAATAATTTAGGAATAAGAATAATTTAGGAATGAGAATAATTTAGGAATAAGAATAATTTAGGAATGAGAATAATTTAGGAATAAAAATAATTTAGGAATAAGAATAATTTAGGAATGAGAATATAATTTAAAAATGAGAATATTTTAAATTTAGAAATGAGAATCATTTAGGAATGAGAATAATTTTCAAGATTAATGTTGTATAATCAATGTAGGTCTAGACTAATAACTTGTGTGCAAAATTTCAGATTATTTGCTCACTCTGTTATTCCAGAATAATTATTCTTATTGTGAAAAATGACCCAAAATTGAAAACCATTGGTACTTTTTTCACTCAAAGAATAACACAAACATATTTTTTTTTCAATTTATTTCTTTTTATGTTTCTTAACTATCTTTTGTATCTCTTAATTTGTGTCTTGAGTGCCCCAGCTGATCTATGTACGAGATTCAAATTTCATATTTTTAGGCATTTGGAACTCAGTCGAGTTCCTTTAAAACTTCATTGGTGGACACAGTTTATGAATATATACACAATTTTACTGTGGTGGAGTAATAGATCTATTTCATTGCTGACCTTTTGAATGCTGTCTGTTGGAAATAATAACTACAGATTTTCGAAGACCAAAAATAGATTTCTTAGACCAAAAAATAGATTGTTTCATTAGTAAAAGAAGCTAAAAATAATAAATATCCATACATACCATAATATTATGTAACTCATTCATAGCATTATTATCCCCGGGGGATCCAGGAGACTTTGGAACATCCTAAAATATATATTTATTTACATGTACACAATATAATATTATATACTTGTGTGTGAAAAAATTTTATTTTATATCGAACGCAGTTACATAACATGAATACATGCAATCATCATAATAAACAAAACACAATAAAGAACCCTTATCTGTTAGCAACACCATTGTTCATGTATAAAAATATCTTTTTAAAAAGCTTTAACAGAAAAGAAAACAATATGTTAATGTTAAAAAAGAACCAATTCAGTATTATCAAATCAGAAAAGATACTCAACGTTTAAAGCAGCACGCCTCCAGATTCACGCTAATTTTCATGAAAATTTTGAAAATGTATTTGAATGTACACACTTGTGAAATAACCAAAAGGAAGCAATTTACACATTATCAATGGCACTTAAAACCCACATAAATTACCAAAAGTGGTCAAAATATGCATAAATAGCCCTTACTGAATTATAGTAAATCAGTAAAGATATAGTTGTAAATACTGAAAAATCAGATATTAACCACACATAACATGTAAAATATTACTTGAATCTTGAATCATTTTACTTTTCCTAAAATTGTAATACATATTTCTCAAGTTTGATTATATTGAAATATTTGGAGGCATGCTTTAAAGCTTATAACTAAAAAATTAAGATTACATGATATATTACACATATATTCAAAATCAAACTCAAATTGCAAATATAAAATCTCCCTGTCAATTACATATTGTCAACAAATGAGAAACAAATTACAAACATATTTTGTTACATACCAAGTGTGCATGAGAAAATTAAATTGCAAAATGCTTAGGTATATTTTTTTCTGTTTTGATAAAAAATAAAGATTGCAATAAATCTATAATGGAGGCCTGCTTTATTGTTTATGTTAACAAGAGCAAATGGCAAATAAAATAAAAGGAAATCATAATTATCAAGAAGAATTAAAGCTGCAAGCTTTTTTTCATTCCAGCTCAATATGTTTTATAATTACCAATATATCATTCATTTATCTAAACCTGTTATCAGAAATATTATTTTATAATCCATCACCATACCCTTCACCCTGTTATGAATGAGTATTATAAACATGTACAGTAAAACCTGAGAAACGGACCACCTTCTTAATAAATACATAAGCAGCATGCCTATTAGTCCTAATTATAAGACCTATTTGTAACCTTTTTTCATATTTATCATTCATTAATCTGATATTTTACATTTTTCATTTTCAATGTTACATTTAGGTCTTAACAGATCTTTGTAAAATCGTGTAGCAAACAATTTGACATTAGACATCGATTTAGATCTAATGCATTTAAACAATTAAGACATTATTTACATTAATTTTGACCTATTTATGAACTAAACTAAAAAATAAATACCTTTTAACAAAATAATTAAACTGTCACATTTGAAAAATCATGATTAAATCCTCTCATTTAATTAAATTTCTAATACAGCTGATAAACAAATGGCCGCCATACAGTGAGCGAAATCTGATTGGCTTTTTCAAATGCAAGCGTTTAAATGAGTCAGAAGTTTCTAATGGAATATTTTTTCAATGAAATAATTGCCCATGCACCGTAAGCCTGTTAGAATATAATTTGGAATCAATCTGTAAAGCACTTAACTTAACCAGTATGGCCGATAGGCAAAACTAGATTGATATTTATATTTTATTTTTAATTGATAAGTACATTGTTTGAGAGTTTTTGTTAATGGTTGAGCATGAAATTGAAAGAAAAGAAGATAAGCTTTTGAAAAAAGCTTGAAAGGCAAGACAATAGACAATTTTAGATTTTTAAAAAATGCTATGCGTTTATGAGCAATAACTATTAGACGTCAGGCTTGACTGACATAAACTATAACAAGCCTGTAACGTCTAATATATTGGACTACATGCCTACAGATTCATGCTAATTTTCATGAAAATTTTGAAAATGTATTTCAATGTAAAATATTGTAAACTTAACAAAGAAAGTTATTTACACGTTGTAAACGGCACTTACAAACCACATAAGCTAATAAGAGGGCAAAATATGCAAATTATACCTTACTGCGTTAGTAACACAGTAGGATTATGGTGATTAATAATGCAAAATCAGTCATAAATCGCACATAACATGCAAATCATTAATTCAATATTGAATCTCTTTACTTTTCTTAAAATCTTGATACATTTTTCTCAAGTTTGATTTTCTTGAAATATTTTGGCTCATCTGGAGGTGTGCAGCTTTAATTCAGGGTAAACAATTTTAAAATGGACTGATACAGCATACAATTTTGGAACTGTTCATTATCAATTTTAGAGATATCAAGATGGGAATTTGAAGTTGGTTTGGAAACAGTATAGAGTTTAATCTGGCTGCAGGCAGGCCTGCAAATTACAGCTCAAGCTTTAAGTTTCAGTAAGTTTCTTTTGTTGCACTAACACAGTATAGGTCATATGGCGACTTTCCAGCTTTACTAGTGGAGGAATACCTCAGGTGCCCTTCCATACATTATTCCAGGCACAAATGGGCACCACAGACGTTCTGTAAGCATACTGGATAGCTTCCTCACATAAAAGAATCAAAAGTCCCTGTCAGGATTAAAACCAACAGCGCTGAGGGGCATGTAGTTTAAAGTCAACGCCTTTAACCACCTACGTCCCTCTAGTAAGTTAAAGGTTAACAACAAACAAACTGTTATACTTTCTGAGTCCACTGGTCAATATCAAAGCTGAAAAATGTGAAGTACCATGGATAAAGTTACATTATCATTTTTTTGTTATAATTCTCACTGGTGATCATTTTACACAGGTTTCACTATGATTTCTAAAGTTAACAAAACCAAATATGAAAGATGGTTTGTGTAGATTATTTACTATGACAACAAAAAAGGTGTTTACATGGATATGATTATAAGAGACAAGATGAAAAGAGAACCATATGTTGTGTTAAATGCTTATAAGTCATAAAGGGGCATAACTCCAAAAATATTGCTTTCAGAATTATGCACCTTGTTATGATAAGCAAGTATTCCAAGTTTCATGTAGAAAACTTTTAAAATGTTTGAATAATGGGCCACATTTAATTTTTTGCATGACAAGAACGACTAAAACACTGCAGCAATCATAATGGAGCCGTGTCACAACAAAACCAACATAGTGCGTTTGCGACCAGCATGGATCCAGACCAGCCTGCGCATCCGCACAGTCTGATCAGGATCCATGCTGTTCGCTATCAGTTTCTCTACTTGTAATAGGGTTGGTAAGCGAACAGCATGGATCCTGATCAGACTGCGCGGATGCGCAGGCTGGTCTGGATCCATGCTGGTCGCAAACGCACTATGTTGGTTTTGTCGTGACGCGGCTCAAAAAAACCCTCAACTTTTTCTTTGAAACAGACATACTAAATAATGAATTTCTTGATAAGGTTTAAAAATATAGACTTGACATTTGATGATTATAAGAATAAGGTAAATGGGGAAATAAATATTTGGAATATATAACTTATCATATTAGGTATAAAAAGTACATGTAGTTTTCATTCAAAATAATTGTCCTTGACCCATCGGACATTAATGTAACGTCACTATAGTAACAGAGGACAAATGTATTTCTTGACTAACAACTAAAATGTTTGGTAATATGAGAGTAAAATTCACCAGATAAAAATACCCAAAACTATTTCATAAAAGTTGGTTAACTCACTTAAACTAAATATAAAAACATTGGCAAACAGTTATTACAATTCAGAAATGATGCAGTTCAGAATTAGTAAAAAAAAATAGAAGAAAAATTATCTGCAAAAAACCCATGCAAGTTTATTCTGTTAGGTTGTGCAGCAGAATTAGCCATAGTTATAAACTATAGTTGACAGTTACCGAACAAAGTGCTCTTAAATTCTGTACCACTACTAACCTACCGTAAAATTCCCTTTAAACGCCCCTCCCCTAACAAAGACACCATCCCCATTTTTTTTTTGGATAAAATCTACTAGCCAGTGCTGAACAGTAAATCCATAATTTCATTCAAAACCTTCAGAATCCATTTAAGTTTATAGTAAACACAAAAATGTATCCCCCCCCCCCAAAAAAAAATACTCTAACTTTCACACTTTTTAACATTATTATGAAAACTTGTCTGTTAGACTAACACCAAATATAATTTTTACCATGATTTTTGGATTTAGGAAAAACTGTGTTTGAATAAAAGCACCCCTTTGAAAAATGTAAGGCTCCCAAATGTTTAATAGGAATTTTATGGTAATTATTCCCACATTTTACTGCCATTTTCTACACATGCATCATTTCTTGAACACAGGATCAAGTTAGAAGATAAGTTAGTAGTTCAACTAAAAGTTAGTTCTAAGAAATATACTTTAATTATACAATATACTTGGTGCAAAAAAATAAGAAAATTCTCAAGCAAGCTTCAGTTGGTAATGATTTCATAATGCCTAACTGGTATATATTTCATAATGCCTATAACTAACACTGGTATAATATTCTATAATATTTTATAGTATACATTGTTTCACCTCTTCTTTAGCATGATCATCAAAACTTTTAGATTTTAAGACCATTCTATAATCTCCAGACCCTTCTTCTCCACTACCCTTTGAAAACAATAGAAATCTCAAAATATTAATTAATCTATAAACTAAATTAATCTATAAACATGATGTAAGTGTTAAGATTATCTCCTTTTTACATAGAATACAAATTAGTAAAATTTTGTGTAACCATGCAAATTTTCATTCTTTTCATTCTTTCTTGTTGCAGGAACAACATGTCAAAGCAAAGGTCAATCAAAAGGTCCATGCTTCAAAGCTCTCATTATTGATTTCCAAATTGCAATAATATCCTTGCATCATAAGACCATTCATTGCTACAGAGATTGCATTATTGATATCCAAAGTGCAATACATGTAATATCCTTGCATGATGGCCATTCAATGCTTTAAAGATTACATTATTGATATCCAAATCACAACAATGTCCTTGCATGTTGACCATTCCATGCTTCAAAGATCACATTATTGATATCCAATTAGCAACAATATCCCTGCATCATGACCATTCCATGCTTCAGAGATCACATAATTGATATCCAAATTGCAAAAGTATCCTTGAATGATGCCCATTCCATGCTTCAAGGATTACATAATTGTTATCCAAATCACAATAATATCCTTAGCGATTGCCATTAGATGCTTCAGAGATCATAAATGATATCAAAATTGCTATAATATCCTTGCATGATGACCATTCCATGCTTAAGAGATCACATAATTGATATCCAAATTGCAAAAGTATTCTTGCATGATGACCATTCCATGCTTCAGAAATCACATTATTGATATCTAAATCACAACAATATCCTTGCATGATGACCATTCCATGCTTCAGAGATCACATAATTGATATCCAAATTGCAAAAGTATCCTTGCATGATGACCATTCCATGCTTTAGAGATCACATTTTTGATATCCAAATCACAATAATATCCTTCATGATTGCCATTCCATGCTTCTGAGATCATTATTGATATCAAAATCACAATAATATCCTTGCATGACTACCATTCCATGCTTCAAAGATCATTATTGATATCAAAATTGCAATAATATCCTTGCATGATGATCATTCCATGCTTCAGAGATCACATTATTGATATCCAAAGTGCAACAAAATCCTTGCATAATGACCATTCTTGTTTATACATGCTATGACAAAATACAAATCTACTTCTGCTATAAAGTTATGAATGCATCACTTATAAATGACAATAACATTTCCTTTGCAATCATGGTTAAAACATACAAAAATCAACAATAAATGAATACACAATACAATATTTTCTACTGTAACAAATAGAAACAGCCTTGGCCATGAAGAAAATGATGTGCCGTTGTTTTTTTTTCATTCCATGATTAAAAGTTGTTTATCAAGATCAATTATTACTCAGGTTGATGTTTTTTTTAAGTTATAAGTTTGGTGAAAGCTGGGACATAATACAACAGGACAAGCAACTGCTGGCTAGATAAGCAGTCTTGTACTGATATTCAATTGACAGCCAATTAATCAATAAGCACAGTGCGTGTTTTAATCAATACATTAATGCAAGTATTATAACAAAATTTATTGACATATTCTCATAACAACATGTAAAATTCATTCATATACAAAAATACTGTTTACATCTGAAATGCCAGGTGGCTTAATATATTTCGTATATACATCATTTACTTAATACTTAAATTACCTTTTCACAACTATGGCAGCACATGCACCATATAGAATAAGAAAAAATAAAGCAGCTCAAATATCAAGTTGTTTGTCCCATTAAATCATGTCCCAGATGAAAATGATGAATTATGTCTGAATTTTGTTTCCAAATCTAACCAGTATTGTGAAGAAACATTGAGCTAACCAATATTGTCTGGAAACATTGAGCTAACCAGTATTGTCTGGAAACATTGAGCTAACCAATATTGTCCGGAAACATTTAGCTAACCAGTATTGTCTGGAAACTTTGAGCTAACCAATATTGTCTGGAAACATTGAGCTAACCAATATTGTCATGAAACATTGAGCTAACCAATATTGTCTGGAAACATTGAGCTAACCAGTATTGTCTAGAAACATTGAGCTAACCAGTATTGTCTGGAAACATGGAGCTAACCAATATTGTCTAGAAACATTGAGCTAACCAGTATTGTCTGGAAACATTGAGCTAAACAATATTGTCTGGAAACATTGAGCTAACCAATATTGTCTGAAAACATTGAGCTAACCAGTATTGTGAAGAAACATTGAGCTAACCAATATTGTGAGGAAACATTTTTGTGATCTCTTCCTTATATACAAATGCACATATCTTAAAGACCAAAACATCAAACCCACAACTGTGAGACGTAATAAAAACAAAATGTGAGATTAAATTAAACTGCTCATAAATATAAAAGTATACATATTAATTAATCACAATTATAAATATATTAAATAAGTTTCTAAAGGTGATAAGATAATGAGGAAATCATAAACATGGTCAGTGAATTTTAAAACATACCAAAGGTTCTTGTGTCTCCTGAAATAGTTAATCAAATTATATGATCTGATTTAAGTCACTTTATTGAATTAATTCACTTTAGAATGGAACACAAACAACAAAAAAAAAAAAAAAAAAAAAAAAAAAACATTCAAGAAGTTTTGTAATTGATTTTGATAGGGAACAAATTAAAATAAATTGAGGCAGGAAATTTCTTTAAATTTTCAAGAAACTTTTTATAATAAGTAAGTTTTATTGTAAATGAGTTACATATTATTCTTTTATTGTTTTTGGTGTTGCTTGTTTTTGTTGTTGCTTACTAAATCATATTAAGGTCATGCTTAATTTAAAATGAATTAGATTAGAATCTTTTTTATTGTTGCTTTTATTAACCAAATCAATACTTTTAATGTCATACTAGATTACTGCTTTCCATATCGGACAAATAAAAACCTGCCATGATATCACATATCTGTACCAATTGGTTCATAGAACATGTAATTTTTCACAAGACTTTCATTGAATGAAATATATATCAAACTTACTAATTAAAATATATTTTTTGTTAAAAAAAATCTGATTTCCTATGATAATTTTACATTTTTCATACCATTATTGATGAAGCTGTTTAATCAAAGAATTAAACGCTCTCAAGTGAGATTCGTTCTTCATACACAAATCATTGCAGTCAATCCATTCTTGCACACAATAAAAATTAATGAATTCCTTAACATAGCCCTTTTAAAATTTTAATTGAGGTAATTTATTCTTGCACACACACAATTTGCACCTATTAAAATGTTATATTAGGTTAATTCAATCTAGCACACAACAAAAATGTGTTAATTCAATGTAACACACAGCAAAATTGGGTAAATTCAATCTAGCTCAAAACAAAAATTGAGTTAATTCAATCTAGCACACAACAAAAATGTGTTAATTCAATCTAGCACACAACAAAATTGAGTTAATTCAATCTAGCACACAACAAAATTAAGGGAATTCAATCTAGCACACAACAAAAATTGAGTTAATTCAATCTAGCACACAACAAAAATTGCGTAAATTCAATCTAGCACACAACCAAATTAAGTTAATTCAATCTAGCACACAACAAAATTGAGATAATTCAATCTAGCACGCAACAAAAATTGAGTTTATTCTATCTAGCACACAACAAAAATTGAGTTAATTCAATCTAGCACACAACAGAATTGAGATAATTCAATCTAGCACACAACAAAAATGTGTTAATTCAATCTAGCACACAACAAAAATGTGTTAATTCAATCTAGCACACAACAAAATTGAGTTAATTCAATCAGCACACAACAAAAATTGAGTTATTCTATCTAGCACACAACAAAATTGAGTTTATTCAATCTAGCACACAACAAAATTGAGATAATTCAATCAAGCACGCAACAAAATTGAATTTATTCAATCCAGCGCCCAACAACATTAAGTTTATCGACCTAGCACACAAATAACCTTTACTCACTTAAGACAAGATGTTGAAATTTCATTGCACTACCAAAGTGACACCTTGAAAATCATATAATGTTATCTTCATTTAAAATGCGTAAACTTTAACGGATTGTGATAGTTGAAAATGGACTACTCTGACTCTGCATTCAATTTAAACAAATAGAGAAAATGTAATCAAAAGGTTTTAGTAAATGTCACACTTTAACAATAATGTTACTGCATTATGTCAGAAATAAAAATCTTTTTTTTTACTCTAAATTACAAATAGAGAAAATTTTAACAAAATATTTTAGTAAATGTCACACTTAAACAATAACACTACAGTATAATTTCAGAGAAACCACACCAGGCATGTTTCCTTGATTCATTATTTCCAGATATACCATAACACTTCTTACAGCTACCCTGATAGCATGTTGCCATAAGAGCTTTCTAACCTAGTTACTAAGCAACAGAAGAGAAGGCTACAATATTTTGAAGTTTAAAAAAAAAATTGAGCCGCGTCACAACAAAACCAACATAATGGGTTTGCGACCAGCATGGATCCAGACCAGCCTGCGCATCCGCGCAGTCTGGTCTGGATCCATGCTGTTCGCTATCAGTTTCTCTACTTGTTATAGAGTTTGTAATCGAACAACATGGATACTGATCAGACTGCCCGGATGCGCAGACTGGTCTGGATCCATGCTGGTTGCAAAGCCATTATGTTGGTTTTGTCGTGATGCGGCTCAATATTTTGTTATAGCAATGGTTGTCATAATGGCTTAATGAAAATATAACCAATATAAGGACTGGCCTAGCAACATTGTTAGCACTATGTATGTCTTCTTAATCCATCTTAACATAATTTGCTTTAACTTTTTACCAAATATCACTGGCTAAAACTAGATAATGACAGAATGAACAAATTTGTAAATTTACCCAAAACTTTATTAAACAAATTAACAAATTAAAATGGTTTACATTGTAAATATGTGTATAAATCATTTAATGATGGTAACAAAATTAATAAGAATCAGTGAAACTCATCCACTAGTTCAAACTACATTTGCCATGCATTTCTGTCTCAGAAGTTTTTTGCACTTAGATAGAAAATGACCAATGTTTAAAATATTGCTGTGTAACTTAATTTCGTAATATCTTTTAATGAACAGAGAACAAAACTTACAGAAGATACAGTAAAGACTGGCCAATATTAAAATACAGGCGTTTTAATCAATAAGGTGTTCAACTGTCCGCTCCAATGTAAAAAACAAGAGCTGTCAGTAGGACAGCACGCTCGACTATTCTAAGTGCTTGATAGTAAAAGAGCCTTGATAATGTTAAATTTTCTAAGTTCACCAAAGGGCTAATCTTTTTTTATAAATTCATGTTATAGGCCTTAGAGAGAGTCTAAATATACAGTATTGGCTTTACTATTTGGAAGGTAATGTCATTAGGGTGTTTTATTGAGTATAATAATACTAATTACCTATGAATACATAAATTTGACAGAAAAGGTACAAAGGCTTGTTATTAACAAGTTTTATCAAGTAAATCACTGCTTTATTATTATGAATGCATAAAATTGTCCAAAAAAAGGCACAAACCCTCCAGTAGTTATGGAGATAACAGCTTACAAGCAAAACTTTATCATGAATTTCTAAGTTGAAAAGAGGAAGAAAAATCAGCCTAAATGCAAGATAGAATTATGGATCTTTGTCAGTGACCTACAATTCTGACCCTAAATGCATATGTGAAGTTTTAAATAAATATCTTTAATAGTTATTGAGATTTGTAAAACTTGCATGTAAACATTAACCAAGAGACTAAGTAGAAAAGGGGATATGAATCAGCCTTATTGCAAGATAGAGTTATGGAACTTGGTCAGTGACATACAATTATGACCCTCAAATTATGACCCTAAGTACATGTGTAAAGTTTCAAGTAAATATCTTTGAAGACCTTTAACCTTTAACCAAAATTTCTAAGTTTCAAAGGGGCAAATAATTCTGCAAATATTTCAGACAGAGTTATGCAATTTTTCAAAATGATGTACATTGTTACTATAAAAAAGTGTTGTAAATTTCAATTGAATATCTCAAGCAATAATTGAGATATTTGACTTTACAAAAAATATTTAACCAAAATTTCTAAGTTTCAAAGGGGCATAATTCTGTCAATATTGTAGGCAGAGTTATCCAACTTGTCAATCTGATGTACCTTGTTACTATAAATAAGTATTGTAAGTTTCAAATGAATATCTGAAGCAATAATTGAGATATTTGACTTAACAAAAAACTTTAACCAAAATTTCTAAGTTAAAAAGGGGCATAATTCTGTCAATATTGTAGGCAGAGTTATCCAACTTGTCAATCTGATGTACCTTGTTACTATAAATAAGTATTGTAAGTTTCAATTGAATATCTCAAGCAATAATTGAGATATTTGACTTAACAAAAAACTTTAACCAAAATTTCTAAGTTAAAAAGGGGCATAATTCTGTCAATATTGTAGACAGAGTTATCCAACTTGTCAATCTGATGTACCTTGTTACTATAAATAAGTATTGTAAGTTTCAATTGAATATCTCAAGCAATAATTGAGATATTTGACTTAACAAAAAACTTTAACCAAAATTTCTAAGTTAAAAAGGGGCATAATTCTGTCAATATTGTAGGTAGAGTTATCCAACTTGTCAATCTGATGTACCTTGTTACTATAAATAAGTATTGTAAGTTTCAATTGAATATCTCAAGCAATAATTGAGATATTTGACTTAACAAAAAACTTTAACCAACGCAGACGCCGACGCGGACGCTGACGCCGACGCCGGGGCGACTACAATAGCTCTCATATTCTTCGAATAGTCGAGCTAAAAACCAGTGTAAGAATTTTTGAACATGTGTAATTTGTTATGTCAGATTTCACTAAATTTCCCTACATTACAGTAACTTCAAATTCATCAGATTAAGTTACATTATGAAATTATTTCAATGCATATAAATGTAATTACATCTAATGATTTAAAAGAAATCAGATTTAAAATAAAAATTTATTTAATAACACAAAAATGTTTCTTTTTTATCCGTTTACAAGGTGACTTTAAGTACACCTGTCCTCTTGAAACATAAACAAACAAAAAGAAAGAAATAAAGCACAAATCTATAAAAATTGTGTTCCCACAAAGATATAATGTATGATTTCAATGAGTATAAAAGTGTAAGTTCATTTGATACACAAAATGTAAAATTGAGGATGAAATGAATTTTTTAATTTTACAAACATACAGTTAACTTAGTTTAAATCACATTTTTGTTGTTTTTGAGTATTTATAAGTATGCACATCTATACTGTAATGTATGTGCCAGTTAAGAGTTATTGCCCCTTGTTTGATTTTCAGACACTGAGTTATCTGTTCATAGAAATATGAGTTACCTACCCTTTTAATTGGTTTCAGTGCACGTTTCAATGTTTTTCCTCTCTTGATATTCTCCATCATCTCATCTAAGGCTTTATTAAAGTCAGTGTTCACATTAGCCCCTGCTAACTTTACTGTAACAAAAAATGAGCCATGTAACAACAAAACCAACATAGTGTGTTTGCGACCAGCATGGATCCAGACCAACCAGAGCATCTGCACAGTCTGATCATGATCCATGCTGTTTCCATTAGTTTCTCTACAAATTGGGCTAGTAATCTAAAGAATGCTGGCCACATGGATTCAAACAACGACAGGAACAAGCCGTTGTTTCTTTGAGCAATAAAACTCAGTGCATATTACTGGTAGGTTCAAGGAACAGATCCAAAAGTGTTTTAATAACCTTACAGCTTCAAACACAATTGAGGTAAAATAAATTGGTATAAACTAAATACATGTAGGTTCAAACTATACTTGAAAGAAAATTATAACTCTATAAAGGGATAGATCTTGTCTTCAGAATTCATCTGATTCATTATCACTTTAATACTTACATCTATCTTTATCCGGTTTCTTTTTTCTTATAATTTTTGATAAAAATCTGAAACAGTAAATAGAAAAATGATCAATGGTTTCTGAAAATAATAATTTTTTACCTTAATCAAACAATCAGAATTTAAATGCTTTTATACAAACTGTTATGGCACACTTCATGTAATTTTATCATGTAACAATTGTATAAGACTTCTTTAACCCTCAGCAGCCTTCAGACAACGATTTTCGCCAACCCTTGCTGTCTAATAATTATCTGCAATGATTGCTTCAAGTTTTCATCAGAACATACATTGTATTTTTAAAATCCTCCCTAAAAATGATAAATGGTTTTGTCCAGTTTGTAAATGGAATAGTCCAGTTTTGTTATTTAGCATGGTAAGTGTTAAATCACTTTATCTGTTCACTTGACAACATATTAATATTATCATATTTTATCTTTTAAAGTCTTATCATTATTTTACTCATTATTTTAAATATAATATTCATAAACATGAAACAGGATGCATACTGACTTAAATCAAAGTGCTGTATTTTGCTGCTATATACCAAAACGAACCAATGATCACCTTAGTGCAATAACTGTTTAACTCCTATTAAATTCAGAAGGACTTATCCTGTTACTGCACTAAGGTGAATGCAATGATCATTTCCACACTGGAATATATCTATACATTGCCTTAACCTTTACCAAACATGATGGGTTCCCAGTTAGCAACTAAGATATTGATAGTACTATAGAACACTATACCCTTTAGTGGCAGTAATCGGGGGTGGTGGCGGGGGTGGTGGAGGTGGTGGCGGTCTTTTTGAATCTTCATATTCCTTCAGTAGCACATCATCTAGAAAAAAAATATATCACACTTTGTAAACAAATAAAGGAGAAAAATGGAAAAAAAACAAACAAAACAAATATAGCAAAAATTTATTTATGTCACACAGTTTTTCTAGCAGATGTCTGCTTGTGCCTTAAACATTGTCAAACCTAGCAAATTGATTCTAGTTGTGATATGACACGAGTCTGCATGACTTTAATAATTAAACCCAGAAAAAAATCCAAATATTTTTCTTTTAAAGAAATAAATTAAAAGATTTATAAGATAAAATCCAAAGACTTCTAAAGAAACAAAACCAAAGAATTGTAAAGAAAACAAATCCAAAAGATTCATCACAACAGTAACATTCTCAAAATTTGTGAATCTGATTTACAGTAAACATACTGTATTTCTGAAATTTAAAACCAAAGCAATAACAGTTATTAAAGAAAACTAACAGTTAAGAAATCTAACAGTTTTTATAGAAATCTAACAGTTTTTATAGAAATCTAAAAGCTATTTAACTTACATTGCTCTTCTAACTTTGCATATTTATCTTCGTAATCTTTCACACGTTTTATCAAGTCGTCTTTTTCTGTTTCTAGAGACAGCCTTTCACTCTCCATAGACTCTCGAATATCTTTATTGTCTAAAAAATTTTTTCCCCCATATTTTGGGATTTCAAATTTTTAGACTGAAACAGGGAAAAATGTCCCAAAAAAGTCCAAAAAAAAAAACAATATCATAGAAATGACAATGTACATAGATAATGCAAGTATCTGAAAATTTAATTATTTATCAATGCTACAATTATAGAATTTTGAACTATTTTCTTAGCAGATATGTCAATAATCTGGAATCAAAACTTCTACCTCAGCAGATATATCTACAATCTGGTATAAAAACTATTACCTCATTTTATGACAGCCATCTGGTATAAAAGCTATTACCTCAGCAGATATGTCAAACTATTACCTCAGCAGACATGTTAACAATCTGGTCTAAAACTATTACCTCAGCAGCAGATATGTCAACAATCTGGTATAAAGCTATAACCTCAGCATATATTTCAACCATCTGGTATAAAAGATATTACCTCAGCAGAAATTTCAACAATCTGGTATAAAAACTATTACCTCAGCAGATATGTCAAAACTATTACCTCAGCAGATATGTCAACAATCTGGTATAAAGCTAAAACCTCAGCAGATATTTCAACATTCTTGTATAAAAAACTATTACCTCAGCAGATATGTCAACAATCTGGTATAAAAACTATTACCTCAGCAGATATGTCAACAATCTGGTATAAAAACCATTGCCTCAGCAGAAATGTCAACAATCTGATATAAAAGATATTACCTCAGCAAATATGTCAACTATCTGGTATAAAAGATATTACCTCAGCAGATATGTCAACAATCTGGTATAAAAACCATTACCTTAGCAGATATGTCAAAAATCTGGTATAAAAACCATTGCCTCAGCAGAAATGTCAACAATCTGGTATAAAAACCATTGCCTCAGCAGAAATGTCAACAATCTGGTATAAAAACCATTACCTCAGTAGCAATTATGTCAACAATCTGTTATAAAAACCATTACCTCAGTAGCAATTATGTCAACAATCTGGTACAAAAACTATTACCTCAGTAGCAGATATGTCAACAATCTGGTATAAAACTATAACCTCAGCAGATATGTCAACAATCTGGTATAAAAACTTTTACCTCTGTAGCAATTATGTCAACAATCTGGTATAAAAACTATTACCTCAGTAGCAGATATGTCAACAATCTAGTATAACAAGAGCTGTCCGTAAGACAGCGCGCTCGACTTTTTTATTGCTTGCCAATAAAAAAAGTTTTTGCAGTAAAAGGCAATACAAGAATCTCTGTATTTTTAAAGTGAACAATGGCCATGAGCATTAAGATATTTAGTGAAGAATTATTTTACTGAATTGTGTGATACCCTTGAACACTGCAGCAAAGTTTGAAATGTTTAAGTCAAAAAAAAGGGCTGGTAAGAAAGAAAAAAAAAACTGAGTTGAGCCTTAAATAAATTTGGGAATCATGATTGTAAACAAGTATTCCAACTTTCAAATTAATATCTCAAACAGTTCAGTCAAAAAGTGGACTGGTACTAAAAACTTAACCAAGATTCTAAGTCGATAAAAAGGCCTTAATTTTTAAAACAAATCCTTGACAGAGTTACCTTCTCTTGCGTACAGATGGGGGTAATGATGTGAAATAGCATTAAAAGTTTCAAAGCAATATCTCAAAGGGTTAAGGCAATAAGTGGATTTTACCCATATTCAATGTATTTTCTAAGTCAAAAAAAGGGGCATAATTCTGTCAAAAAACCTTGACAGAGTTATGTCCTCTTGTCTGTTGATGAAGGTCGTGATGGTAAACAAGTATGGTCAGTTTCAAAGCAATACCTCCAATGGTTTTGAAATAAAGTGAGGTGGTAACAAAAAACTTAACCAAGCTCAATACACTTTCTAAGTCAAAAAAAGGGCCATAATTCTGTCAAAAAACCTTGACAGAGTTATGTACTCTTGTCTGTAGATGGAGGTTATGATGGTGAACAAGTATGGTAAGTTTCAAAGCCATACTTGTAATACTTCTGAAATAAAGTGGGGTGGTACGAAAAACTTAACCAAGGTGTGACGCCAACGCCGACGCCGACGCCGGGGCGAGTAGGATAGCTCCCCTTTTCATAGAAAAGTCGAGCTAAAAACTATTACCTCTTTAGCAATTATGTCAACAATCTGGTTTAAAAACCATTACCTCAGTAGCAGATATGTCAACAATCTGGTATAACAAGAGCTGTCCGTAAGACAGCGCGCTCGACTTTTTTATTGCTTGCCAATAAAAAAAGTTTTTGCAGTAAAAGGCAATACAAGAATCTCTGTATTTTTAAAGTGAACAATGGCCATGAGCATTAAGATATTTAGTGAAGAATTATTTTACTGAATTGTGTGATACCCTTGAACACTGCAGCAAAGTTTGAAATGTTTAAGTCAAAAGAGGGCTGGTAAGAAAGAAAAAAAAACTGAGTTGAGCCTTAAATAAATTTAATAGTATTAAACCCACTTTGAGAGAATAAGGTATTTTTACGTCACTCAGAACACCTTGGTAAATGACATAATAACATAATTTTTCAAGAAATCTATGCCAAGGAAGCAGTATATTTTTGTACAATCAGCATAATATATAGATTTGACTTTGTATGTGAAAGTATTATAGTTACCTTATAATACAAGTAATAGATAAATTTTATCAAGCTTTTTTAGATGTTGTCAGTTGGTCACAAGTGGATCTCTTTCACACAGGCTGTGGGTGACTGGTTACTTTTCGTGGGTCCACTATGTAGATAATGCGTTGTAAACTGATATTTGAATTACATGAAGGAAGTTCAATTCATTATTTAATGTCATGCTAAATGTTCATGAAATCGTGACATTGAGTATATTTTTACCAATTGGGGCATCTCGTTGAATATTACAGCAATGTTTATATGACATAATTTATGGTAAAGTGAACAAGTGGATAGGAATGAATTTTTTTAGATTTTTTAAGTTTTTTAGTGCTTGCCTATAATACAAAACATTGACAGTTAAGGGCCATAATTCAAATAAAATCTTTGACAGAATTACCTTCTCCTGGACATGTTTTGGGAATCATGATTGTAAACAAGTATTCCAACTTTCAAATTAATATCTCAAACAGTTCATCAAAAAGTGGACTGGTACTAAAAACTTAACCAAGATTCTAAGTCGATAAAAGGCCTTAATTTTTAAAAACAAATCCTTGACAGAGTTACCTTCTCTTGCGTACAGATGGGGGTAATGATGTGAAATAGCATTAAAAGTTTCAAAGCAATATCTCAAAGGGTTAAGGCAATAAGTGGATTTTACCCATATTCAATGTATTTTCTAAGTCAAAAAGGGGCATAATTCTGTCAAAAACCTTGACAGAGTTATGTCCTCTTGTCTGTTGATGAAGGTCGTGATGGTAAACAAGTATGGTCAGTTTCAAAGCAATACCTCCAATGGTTTTGAAATAAAGTGAGGTGGTACAAAAAACTTAACCAAGCTCAATACACTTTCTAAGTCAAAAAAGGGCCATAATTCTGTCAAAAACCTTGACAGAGTTATGTACTCTTGTCTGTAGATGGAGGTTATGATGGTGAACAAGTATGGTAAGTTTCAAAGCCATACTTGTAATACTTCTGAAATAAAGTGGGGTGGTACGAAAAACTTAACCAAGGTGTGACGCCGACGCCGACGCCGACGCCGGGGCGAGTAGGATAGCTCCCCTTTTCATAGAAAAGTCGAGCTAAAAACCATTACCTCTTTAGCAATTATGTCAACAATCTGGTATAAAAACTATTACCTCAGTAGCAGATATGTCAACAATCTGGTATAAAACTATAACCTCAGCGGATATGTCAACAATCTGGTATAAAACTATTACCTCATTAGCAATTATGTCAACAATCTGGTATAAAAACTATTACCTCAGTAGCAGATATGTCAACAATCTGGTATAAAAATCTATTACCTCGGCATCATAATGTTTTCTCTGTTCATCCAATTTCTCTGTGAGATCTTCAATTTCTATCAAAGCTTTATGTAGCTGGTCACCTGGTGTTAATTTCATCAATAATACCTCACTCTGTCTCTTCATTTTATTGTTCTGTACTGCAACCTTAAACATACATTAATTGATACAATATAACCACTAAAACCATTACTGTTTACTAAAATCATAAGGGTTTGGTAATATGTAAATATTCAAAGTTCCACCCAAAGCAGTGAGGAGCAAGTGATTTGAAGTCAACGCCCTTAACTAATTGGCCCGACGCTCCAAGAGAAAGAATAAAATGACAATAAGCATTCACTTACTTCTTCAATTTTCTTTTCAAACACACTTCTTCTCTTGATTTCCAGCTCATATCTTCCCTTCAAATTCTCATACTCCTCATAAGCTTCTTCTGATACTGATCATAGTGAAATAACAAATAATAACATGGTGAACAAATAATAACATAGTGAAATAACAAATAATAACATAGTGAAATAACAAATAATAACATAGTGAAATAACAAATAATAACAAATAGGAAATAACATACTGAAAAATGAAGAAATATCATATTGAACAAAGAGGAAATGATATAGTGAACAATAAAAATAGCAAGATAAACAGAAATTAACATATTAATGGACTAAAGAAAAGTGTTATAAATAGATGATATTTGTTTGTTTGTGTGTAAGATGAAATTTTATTTCATCGAGTGAGCTTTAAAAACAGTATTCTTACGAGTGGCATAGCCACAAGTGAGAATACTGTTTTTAAAGTTCACGAGATGAAATAAAATTACATCTTACACAACAAACAAGCAAATTTTCTTTTTATTTTATGCTTAAGTTAAAAACAAGTTTAAATGAAATTTCCTTAATATTAACTTTAACATTAAAATCTGTTTTCCCCACTGGTAGCCTCATTTAGTAAAATTTCTCATAAAATACAAGAAGTCTTGGCTAAAAATAAGTTTGACAATCAACATTAAATGGCAATGATATTATTCATTTTATTCAAATAATATGAATGATCGCTTGTTTTAATAATAATAACAAACAATTCTAGTAGGAGAAAAAGTCAAACGATCCATCCTTATTTCTGTTACTTACGGCAAATTTATATTAGACCTGACTCTGTGAAATGTAAGCGACCGCATTTTTAAAGTTGTGTATTTCACGGGAGGAAAATAATTGTGTTTGATTCATTCGGATTTGTTAGTCATACACCTTTTTAGAAGAAAGAAAACTTATTTGAGGATTGTTACAGACAATAAATAAGTGTTGACAGATGTGCAAAACATTCAAATAGCGGCTAGGAAATTGGAAAACATGGAATTTTTGAAAGGCTGCCTTACGAACGCTGGGTTGTTTACTTATTCTTCAGGCTGATGGCTGTCATTGCTTTTCAAGTTATTAGGCAGTTATTGCTCGTAGGATACTTAAATATGCCAAAATGTCATCAAGAGCAGTTTTACATGTGGAAGGAATTGTATTTTTCAGACTGTAAAAATGAAACAAAAATTAAGAGACGATATTTGGTGATATTGAAGTAAGTCTTTTTCTTTTTATTACTTTTGAAATTTCATTTCATCAATTTCAGCTAAACAGCCCTGACAATGTTGAGGTACCACATGGGGAAAATCTTAAAAAAGTAGTCTCATCATTGAGAAATTATATTTTGATAATTTTCACTGTGAAATTATCAAATATAATTTTCACGGATAAATCAGTAATCCACTGAAAAGCATAAAATAAAGAGTTTTTATTTTGCATTAAATTAAAACTATTTTTTACAATAAAGTAAACTCTGCACCACTAAAATCTCCAAGTAAGAGACTGTGAAACAGCTGCTTTATCTTTAAGATAGGCTCAAATAGACTTGAATTTGAAAAACAAGTTTATTTTTGAAAATGTCTCAAAACTTAGCAATGTAACAGAAGATATCTTTCTTGTTTACCTTTAGAGAGTTCTTTAATAGCTTCTTTATGTTGTTTTAGAGACGTTTCTGTTTGTTGTAACTGTGCTTTAACTGATTTATACTGAAATAAATAGCCAATTAATTATAATACTAGGAACTTATTTAAGTTAAAGACAAGAACAGACGTAATAATTAATCAGAGAAGTACAGATCAACTATTAGCTTACTAAATAATTTTTAGATACATAATTAAGATGTTCAGATTATGAATTTTAAAAGATGCATATCAAATAACCCTTACTCTCTCCTTTTACTACATCATTCATTTCTTAAATGGAGTGTGCAAGTTTTAATTTCAGGAACAGTTTTCCATTTTATTATCAATTTTGGAATTTTGGAAAAATCAAGATGTAAATTCAAAACATTCATCTGCAAATATTATGGAGATAGTCAGAGAGTAGTGAGAAGCTAGCCTGGGAACAGTTCATCATCAATTTTAGGAAAATCAAGATATAAATTCAAAAGTTATCAGCTTATATTATGGAGATAGACAGGATTTATAAACTTGCCTTGGTCGTTACTGGCAGAAAAGACGGTTAACATTCAGTTTCCATTGTTCTAAGGGTTAACAACAAAACTATTTATTTATACATGTATTAAAGGAGCTCTATTGAGGTTAAAAAGCCTAAACTTTGAGTGAGAAGCATTAATTTTGCACAATAAAATTTATTACACTGGAAAAATAGAGTAAGGGAATAACCTGAAATTTTGCACACACATTATTAGTCCAGACCAACATCAAATGTAATACACGTCTAGAAAAAACAATTCTCAGAAAAAAACTTCAGTGGAATCTCTTTAATATAAAACCAAAATATGCCTTACCATGGCGGATGCCCATTTATAGTTGTCCTTCTCAACATAAAGTTCATCTTGTGTTTTTTGCAGACTAGCTTTCAGACTAGCAACTTCATTCTTTAACTCTGAAAAACAGCAATGACATGTTAAACTTGAAAATTTGCAAATAATCACCTTAGAGCAATAACTATTTAACGCTTATTAAATTTAGAAGGACTTATTCAATTACTGCACTAAGGTGATGAAATGCTGATTCACAAATAAGCAGGATAGCTGAATTATACTTATAAATAGTTATTTTAATCACAAGAGCAATCCATAGGACAGCATACTCCTCCATTCTCAGTGCTTGATAGTAAAAACAAGAGCCTGAATAATGTAGAATTTAAAAAGTTAAAGTTAAAAAAGGTCATAATTCTGACAAAATCCATGTTAGAGTTAAGGCCTTGGAGAATGACCACCCATTATGCTCTCAAATAAGTGTGTGAAGCTTTAACCCATTCCTTTATACCAATTTGCACGCAAAAACTTAACGAAAGTGTAAAACTGACTTCCAAAAAGTCGAGCTAAATACAATGTGGCAGATAATCTCTAAACATTCATAGTAAAATACTCAAAAGTGATAGTTTGGGTAATTAAAATACCAGTAGTAGTAGTTTAAATTAGAACTTAATCTATTTTTTCAACCTTTACTTAGAGGTGGTCTTAAAAACAGGTCTGACTATACCATACTGAATTTTTTTGTATTTGATGCCTACATATGATTTGTAAAATATAAAAGAGTTCTCTCTCATATTTTAGAAGCATCATGACAGGATAGAAGAGAGCTGGTATGGTTATAAAATTGCATCTATCATATCATCATAACTTATGTACATGATAAGCATAATTTAATCGACAGTAGAGCTTCAGTAATTCTTCAAATTTGAAGAGACTTGCGTCAAAACTTCAGCACATCGAGACTTCAATACATGAATCCGTCTCAATTTAATGATAAAATTTCGATTTGATACAAAAGGGGTAACAAAAGGAAAGGGAGACAACTAAACCAGCTTATAGTAAATATATCCTGAATGAATATCATGTGACACAGGGTCAAAGAAGTTCTCAAACAAAACTAATTTCATGGAGACTTGGACTGTGAGGTGAGAACAGAAAATGTATGTTCATATAAAAGAAACTGGCAATTTATTATCCACATGTAAGTTTATAAAAGTATACCAGGCCTTGAGGTTATTTCAGAGTTGTCTAAAATTTCAGGATTTTCATTGGTCAGTGAACATTTTTTGGCAGTTTCTGACCAATCAAATTCCTTATATCTGAATTTGAGCTAAGGAGGACAGATTATACATGTTGATATGGAAACATAAAAATATTTTACAAATTTAATTACCTCTTAACGTATGGTTTAATGATTCTTGGTATCCATTTTCTAACTTCTTGTCCTCGGGATCATCTTCATCTAGATTGATATCCATCAAATGTAATGGTGTATTACTTTTGTTCATCACAGCTATCAGGTCCATACTCTGTCTCTTTAACTTCTTGTTCTGCCTCACAATCTATATTTTATATTTATCATAGAAGAAAAATACATCAGACATGAATGACATATGTCATTATATCTGCAAAACAATATATTTAAAATTTTGAAATATCACTTAATTTGTACAATGCCATACAATAATGCATCAGTCAACTGCAGTAGCAGCCTCCCATGCCCCTCAACATGCCCCTGAAGCAGTATGGGGGATATCAGGGGAAATGACCCTAGTATTTACTCTATTAATGCAGTGCCTAATGGTGAATGCAGTGCCAAAGAAAGCAGGAAGAATGTAAAACTTGTATAGGGCATGGAGCAGGGATTTTACCACCTAACTTACAGAACAGGACTTTTACAGTGGGATGAAAAGCTAAAAGTTAAAGTTCACACTGTTCTCCAGCAGTAAGGTGTAGGGCTGCTCGACCCTTGGGACCAGGTACTTTGAACTGGTGCAAATTTAAATGGAAGGTATTTAGCATAGTATGAATTAAATTACTCTTATCTGTTATATATATTTTTTCCTTTTACAATTTCTTTCTGGAAAAATCAACTTTACATTTTATTTGTCATATATGATGATTCACAAGTACTCTATTCCATGTACAGCATACATTACTTATGACTGAAGAATTTAGGTAAACTTTGTTTCATAAGTTAAGTATTGTTCAATATGGTCAACTTAAAATTATTTAAAATGTAATTGTTCTCAAATATATAATAACTTCCCTCATTTCACATTGAAAGACACTGAAGATAAATATAATGTAATTCTAATTTTGGTTTTTTAGAGTTTCCCAAAAGAACTTCATTAAATATATTGCTCAATTCCATCGACTCTTCAAACTTCTGACCCTTGCAGGTGATAAAAAAAGACTGTTATGGTTGACACTACATACCAGACATGAAGTAATCGTAATTGCGTAATGGTATTTAATTGTAATTGACTACATGTATATTGTTCTTTTAAATCTTCAGTATAAAATCATTTACATGTATATTAAATGTATATAAAATAGTGAATTGTAACATTAATTTTACTATCACTGTCTCTTAAAATGAATGACAATTACATTTCAATCAGGGTAAATAAAAATGTAAATGTAATTAAATATAATCAATTACAAATTTTCAAAAGTAATTGAATGTAATTTGTAATTGAAGTTTTGTTTTAAACAAATACTTTGAAAATAAATGTAATTTCTAATGTTTATTGTTTTGACTTGATGTAATTTTAATAAATAACATTCATAAAATTAGCAACCTGTGTATTTTATCATAATTATAACCATTTGTCTTTACAATATAATAACAGCCCATTTCTTTTTTTATATTTGCATTATATATGAGCCGCGCCATGACAAACCCAACATAATGCGTTTGCGACCAGCATGGATCCAGACCAGCCTGCGCATCTGCGAAGTCTGATCAAGATCCATGATGTTCGCTTATATAACAAGTAGAGAAACAGCATGGATCCTGATCAGACTGAGTGGATGAGCAGGCTGGTCTAGATCCATTCTGGTTGCAAATGCACTATGTTGGTTTTGCCAAGGCGCGGCTCATATCTGCTTTTGATGATTCTATTAACAGCATTGTAACTAAACACTCATGTAGAGTTCTAGTAATTTGATCACAAAACCATTAATGTAGACAGTTTCAACTTTAAAGCAGGACACAAAATTGTCAGAGCAAGTGATTAAACATGGAAATCTTTGTAAAACCACAAACTGTTTAGGTCATCAGCGTATTTTGGAGTATACTGTCTATGTTTTATTTCAATATTATCTGAGATTTTATATGTTATCTGGTTGGGTTTTATGCTGCATCAATACAGTATAAGTCATATGAAGACTTTTCAGTTTCCCTTCTATGCATTATATCCGGTAGGAATGGGTAACCTGATTCGAACCACCAACGTTTAACGATAATGAACAGACACTGGTATGATGTATGACCATATTTATGTATGCTTAGTGTTTGCTACCGGACCTGCAAAGATTATTCTACATGAGAAAACAGGAAACTTTCAAACTAAACCACCAAAACAGATAAAATTGAAAGAATGTGTAGGAGGGTCATCCAATAAACAGTCAAACTGGTAAAACTTGACACTAAATAAGAAAGCAATACAAAAAATCTAGTTCTTTTCTCTAAATCCTTCCAGAGGCAGATCATGGTCAAGTTATCCTAAGTACCTGGCACTTAGGTTGACCTGTCATGTCTAACTTCAAAAAGTGGCCATACAAAAGAGCAGTTTTGAAAGAAACACATCTTGGATCCTTCCACCATTTTATGTAGATCAGGCATTGCTGATAGACAAAGAGGTCCCCTATGAGGCAACTGATGTAGACCAGCATTAGGATGCCGTAAGCCTCCTTCATCTTGCTAAATCTGGCACCGAGCATAAACAAATGGCACAGAGCATTAACAAATGACACCAACCATAAACAAATGGCACTGAACATAAAAAAATGGCACTGAACATAAACAAATGGCACTGAACATAAACAAATGGCACCGAGCATTAACAAATGGCACCGAGCATAAACAAATGGCACCAAGCATAAACAAATGGCACCAAGCATTAACAAATGGCACCAACCATAAACAAATGGCATAGAGCATTAAAAAAAAATGGCATAGAGCATTAAAAAAATGGCATAGAGCATTAACAAATGGCACCAACCATAAACAAATGGCATAGAGCATAAACAAATGGCATAGAACATTAACAAATGACACCAAGCATTAACAAATGGCATAGAGCATTAACAAATGGCACCAACCATAAACAAATGACACCAAACATAAACAAATGGCACCGAGCATTAACAAATGGCACCAACCATAAACAAATGACACCAAACATAAACAAATGGCACCAAGCATTAACAAATGACACCAACCATAAACAAATGGCATAGAGCATTAACAAATGGCATAGAGCATTAACAAATGGCACCAACCATAAACAAATGACACCAAACATAAACAAATGGCACCGAGCATTAACAAATGGCACCAACCATAAACAAATGGCATAGAGCATAAACAAATGGCATAGAGCATTAACAAATGACACCAACCATAAACAAATGGCACCAAACATAAACAAATGGCACCAAGCATTAACAAATGGCACCAAGCATAAACAAATAGCATCAAGCATAAACAAATGACACCAACCATAAACAAATGGCACTGAACATAAAAAAATGGCACTAAACATAAACAAATGGCACTGAACATAAACAAATGGCACCGAGCATAAACAAATGGCACCAAGCATAAACAAATGGCACCAAGCATTAACAAATGGCACCAAGCATAAACAAATGGCACGGAGCATTAACAAATGACACCAAACATAAACAAATGGCACCGAGCATTAACAAATGACACCAAGCATAAACAAAGGCACTAATCACAAACAAAGGCACTGAACATAAACAAATGGCACCAAACATAAACAAATGGCACCAAGCATAAACAAATGACACCAAGCATTAAAAAATGGCACCAAACATAAACAAATGGCACAGAGCATAAACAAATGACACCAAACATAAACAAATAGCACCAAGCATAAACAAATGACACCAAGCATAAACAAAGGCACTGAACATAAACAAAGGCACTGAACATAAACAAATGGCACCAAACATAAACAAATGGCACCAAGCATTAACAAATGGCACCAAGCATTAACAAATGGCACCAAACATAAACAAATGGCACCGAGCATTAACAAATGGCACCAAGCATAAACAAGAGCCATGTCAACATGGCCATCCCCCGCCGAATGTGGAAGAAAATATATGTAGTAGAGCGGAATAATTCTATTTTAAGAGGTCTTTTGGTAATGAAAACTGATGGCTATAGTGATTACAGATTTGAAACCTATGTGAATACTGATGGCTGAAAATAACAAAGGGCAATTACTGAAAAATAATGCAGGGTAGGTTATCATTATTGTGTGCTGCATCCCTCCTCAGTAAAATCTATCCACCTATGAAGTTTTCAAGTTGATACCTCAAATACTTTTTGAGAAAAAAATTAAAGTATGAAAAAGAACAAAGGGCAATAACTCAAAAATTATAAAAGGTAGAGTTATCATTCTTGTGCAGTGCAACACCTCCTGAGTCAGAGATCTATGCACCTATAAAGTTTCATTTTTGATATCTCAAAGGCTTTTTGAGTTATGCTCTGGACAAAAATTAATTTTGAAAAAAATAACAAAGGGCCAATAAACTCAAAAATAATGCAGAGTAGAGTTATCATTCTTAAGCACTGCACTTCTCCTCAATGAGATCCATCCACCTTTGAAGTTTAAAGTTGATACCTCAAATACTTTTTGAGATAAGCTCTGGACAAAATAGCATGAAAAAAAAAAAGGGCATTAACTCAAAAATTGTATAGGGAAGAGTTATCATTCTTGCGCACAACATTCCTCCTCAATAAGATCTATCCACCTATGACATTTCATGTTGATATCTCAAACACTTTTTGAGTTATGCTCCACTCAGGTGAAAAATTAGGTATGAAAAATAACAAAGGGCAATAACTCAAAAATTATGAAAGGTAGAGTTATCATTCTTGTGCAATGCACACCTCCTGAGTGAGATCTATGCACCTGTGAAGTTTCATGTTAATATCTCATAGGCTTTTGGAGTTATGCTCTGGACAAAAATCAATTTTGAAAAATAACAAAGGGCAATAACTCAAAAATCATGCAAGGTAGAGTTATCATTCTTGTGCACTGCACTCCTCCTCAATGAGGTCTATCAACATATGAAGTTTCAAGTTGATAACTCAAATACTTTTAGAGATATGCTCCGGACAAAAATGTCGGACGGAAGGACGGACGGACGGAAGGTCGGACGGACGGAGACTATTTCTATATCCTCCGCCGAAATTTTTCAGCGGGGGGATAACAAAGGCACTGAACATAAGCAAAATGCACTGAACATAAACAAATGGCACCAAACATAAACAAATGGCACCAAGCATAAACAAATGACACCAAGCATTAACAAATGGCACCAACCATAAACAAATGGCATAGAGCATTAACAAATGGCACCAACCATAAACAAATGGCACCAAACAAACAAATGGCATGGAGCATTAACAAATGACACCAAACATAAACAAATGGCACCGAGCATAAACAAATGGCACTGAGCATAAACAAATGGCACCAAACATAAACAAATGGCACCAAGCATAAACAAATGGCACTGAACATAAATAAATGGCACTGAACATAAACAAATGGCACCAAGCATAAACAAATGGCACCAAACATAAACAAATGGCACCAAGCATAAACAAAGGCACTGAGCATAAAACAAACTAAAAAACACACACACAAACCTAGTTCTACATGAGAATTTTACCTGAGATGCGTAAGTTTCGGCTTCATGCCTACAGCCTTTCTCTATTTCATATTTGTTCTGTAGTTTAGTATACTCCTCTATTGCAGGCTCAATCACTGTAATATAAAAACAGTCATTATTTAACCACATCATAATTATTTTCAAATTTCTAAATATTCAAAATTTGACTTAAAAATTTCACAGTAAATTGCTTTCTTTGTTCCCATTCACAATATTTGAGCCGCGTCACTACAAAACCAACATAATGGGTTTGTAACCAGCATGGATCCAGACCAGCCTGCGCATCCATGCAGTCTGATCAGGATCTATGCTGTTCGCTTACCAACCCTATTACAAGTAGAGAAACTGATAGTGAACAGCATGGATCCTGATCAGACTGCGCGGATGAGCAGGCTGGTCCAGATCCATACTGGTTGCAAACCCATTATGTTGGTTTTGTTGTGATGCGGCTCATTTAACTTTTAATTAAATAAAACTCTCAAAATTTTCACGAAAATTAGCATGAAACTGGAGGCATGCTGCTTTAATATAATTTTAATTTATAATATGTTCAATACTTACATTTATTCACTTCCTCCAATTGATCTTTCTGGTTGTGTAACTTATTTCGTAACTCTTCTTTCTGGAGGTAAAAATGACATTTGACATAATTTGATAAATCACTGTACATAGATTTTTACATTGTTATGTATTGTTTTAATCACATAATAGCATAACATACATGATGTACATGTACACTATGTCATGTTTATATGGTGCTGTAGTGAAGACACATTTGTTCATTTATCATATTTGCTTTAAGGTTCAAGGTCAGGTATTTCTGAGGTTAATTAATTTAGTACAGGAATTTATGCTTACTTATATATTATATTTATCCCTTCAAAATGGATTCTACCTTTTTAATTGATTCAATTTTAAATGATCCTTCTTAATTGATTCTACCTTCTTTAAATTGAGTCTACATTATTCATTGATTCTTCTTAATTGATTCTACCTTCTTTAGTGAAACTTCTTAATTGATTCTACCTTCTTTAGTGAAACTTCTTAATTGATTATACCTTCTTTAGTGAAACTTCTTAATTGATTCTACCTTCTTAAGTGATACTTCTTAATTGATTCTACCTTCTTAAGTGATACTTCTTAATTGATTCCACCTTCTTTTAATTGATTCTATTTTCTTAATTTAGTCTTCTTAATTGATTATACCTTCTTTTAATTGATTCGACTTTCATAATTTATTCTTCTTAATTGATTCTACCTTCTTTTAATGATTCTACCTTCTTAATCTATTGTACTTTCTTAATGGGTTCTTTTTAACTGATTCTACCTTCATAATTGATTATATTTATATATTTAAGCAGTCAGCTAATTATGTGAAACTCTGAAGGAATCAAAGTAAAAGCTTTCAAGGGTGATGTATAGCAAAAGATAGAGATCTTCTGTTTAGGTACAATAGCACTGTGCTCTGTCCTAAATCCTGAAAATCAAACATTTGAACACACTATGCGATATCCTTACCATTAAGTTAAACATTATAAAAATATAATTAAACAAAAATTTAAAAAAAAAAATAATAAAAAAATAAGGGTTTCTTTTCAAGTACACCAAATTTATGTTGAATTAAACACTTGAAATATTCAAACTGTATATTGGTAATATATTTATCAAAGCAGACCCATTACTGACACTTTTCACCTGATAATTGTAAAAGTATAAAAAAATTTGAGCCTCTTCAAATTTTTATCTGCCATCAGACTGACAATTTTATTACCATTTGTTTGCCAGTGTTAAGATTTAAAAATATGGAAGCTAGTAAATTATATGTATCATTTTGAGTAAAGTACCTCATTTTCCAGCCCTTTATGCCTCTCAAATAGCTCATCATACTTCCTCCGACCTGAAATAAAAATATAAACATACATGTATAAATATATAAATTAATATCAAAAAATATTTCGGTAATACAATTTTGGATAGTTTTTTACATGATAAATTTCATTGTGATCGAGAATAGTGATACTATTATAACTTAAGACTTTGTCACCTGTAACAAATGATAACGACCTTTCTATGCCAACATTTTACATGACGTATGAAGCCATGTCTTGTTGTTTTTTTTTCATTTTTGGTTGGGTGGGGGTTTTCTTTTCGTCATTCCAGCACAGAAGTGGTCATTGGTAACTTTTAAGCTTTTACTTAAGTTGAGGAATATCTCAGGTGCCCTTTCGTGCATTATTTCAAGTGTGAATAGGCACCTGAGTGGAACCACCAAGGTTCTTTAAGTAAGCCAGATAGTGTCCTCTCATGCAAATAGAGAATACACCATTGATGTCGGGATGGAGAGGGTATATCCGGTGAGCGAGAAAGTGTATCTTGGCAAGCTTTAGCCTTCTCCATCCCTACATCAACAATGTATTTGATTTATCCTGCTTTTGATCATGTGTTTAGATTATTTAAATGGTTACACTCCTACTTTTCCCTGATAAAACAGCTTCTATAATTATGTAGTTTTGTTTTGCTGCTAACCATGTGACATCATAATATGACATAATGACTGGAGATAGGTAAGTTTATACGGCAAGGCTTTATCCAGCTGATAATATAGACAGTAGCAGGATAAAAATCCAAAGTCCTTTGCAGGATTTGAACCCACAGCGATGAGTGGCAAGTGGTTTGAAGTCTAGGACCTAACCACTCAGCCCTGAATGCCCTCAAGTCTCATCTAAGCTTGCATTACCCTAACTGATGACTACTTAGTAATTAATTCTTAGTCAGCTGGAACCAAAAGCCTTTGCCAGCAATAAAGAGTCAGTATACTATTTATAGATCAATTTTTGTATTTAGTTCTCGAAATTGGCATTCTTAAACAAACCACTTGCAAATGGACTGTCCCAAATTCCATGCAGGACAAATTTATCAAAGAACTCCATGTGGGTACTTCATCCCCACAGAGATCACTGTCAAATCTAAATACACAATGTAATTGTGCATATCCAGCACAACCTATAAATATATATTATCTTTGATCATTGACTTTTTCAAAAATTCAAAATGTTGTTTGGCTAATACTCTGTGGAAATTGCATGGAGGTAAAGTATCACCATTTCATGCTCCAAAATTAACCCTTGAAGGGCATCACTATTAACATTTCTAAGGTCCATAATGGATAAAGAAAGCTTGATAGGGTTTAAGCTAATATTTGTGCCTAAACTGGCAGATTGGTCTTCAGTTGTTCTATATTTCCCTGTGTCAAAAAGTTAGCTGATTTAAAACTCTGAACAATTTGCGTAAGGAAGTATTAACAAATCATGCCAGGGTAGAAATTGATGACAGGTTGGTTGATATATATGCTAGAAGAAATTAATTGTCAATTCCCGAAGTTTACAAATATTTCCACATAGCTAATACAGTATGTACAGTACAGAAGTACTTAGTATCACATACGGTAAAAGAAAATATGAAAAAAAGGTAGTCTTAAGTAGTAGTTTCAAATTTAAAACAGTTTTCATGATTTTAAATATGATATGATCAAATGTCATGAAAGCAAAACTTATTTCACAAATACTTCCAGGTGTTTTCATGGGAAGAAAGAGTAAATAATGTATATAAGTTTATTATCTGTCACACACATATAAAATGATGCAAGAGTATTCCTGTATACTAAACGTGTTCAAAATAGTAATATCAAAATATTAAATTATAAATTCTCTTCGTCAGTATAATATATGATGTAATATGAAATCTTTCAAATTTATCATTACCATAAACATAATAAAATTAAAACCACCAAGTTAAAATGGAATCTTCTACATTCTTTACCTCTACAATTAATGCTATTCGTAATTCAGGATGTAACATACAGTAAAATGCAGGTGATTTTCATGTTGAACTTATATTTATAAAAGTCCTTAAAGTAAAGAATAAGAAACAGCAAAAAATACGTACAGAAATTTCATATCTTAACCACAAACTGTCAAGAATTGATATCTTTAACATGCTAATAAAGGATTCTTTTTTCATGGTAATTTCAAATAACCATAGAAATATACTGAAGCATTAAACTTTAAAATTTGTGTTAATTTCTTTTGGTTGGGTTTTACGTCACACCAACACAGTTAAGGTCATTATAACGGTGACTTTCCAAATTAACTGGTAGAGAATGGCCTCAGATGCCCTTCCTTGCATTATTTCAGACACAAACAGGCACCTGAGTAAGAAGCAACGATGTTTCATAAGCTAGCTGGACTTGAAGACCTTACATGAAAGAATCCAAAGTTCCAGTTGGGGTTCGAACCCACAGTGGTAAGGGATAAGTGGTTTAAAGTCAACAACCTGAACCACCAGGCCAGAGATGGCCTTATGTGTTTATTTTTCAGAAAACTTTAAAATCGTCTAATATTAATGCCAATGAAACTGAAGTCTAACATATAAATTCAGTGATTTAAAGCAGCCTAAAGGAACTTGAAGTACTTTTTACTTCTCTCCAATGAAATTACCTTATAATTGTGACCAAATTGTACACAAATTTCTCTTTCTAATTAATACTTGGTAGAATTTTGATGATAAAAGTAGAAATTTAGTCATATTTTGCATAAAAAAGATGATTTTAACTAAAATTGTGAATAAGTAAACATGTCATAGTCAATATCATTAATATAAAAATATTTTTTCTTCAGTATAATTTTTTAAAGATTTATCTTACTAATTTGGAGGTATGCATACCACTTTACGGTAAACTCTGCAAGCGCACTTGCTTGTTTGACTATGTGACAATGTTGTGCAGCTCATACTGAGTTAAAATATAAATTTACTCTTAAATTTTCTAAAAATAAATAAATTGATGTATGATGATGCAGCCATTTTTGATATAGAAATACATTATGTGAGATTTCAACTTATTTTCTACAGAAGATGAATTTTTCTGTAAAAAGTGAAACATCATAAAAATCTCTATTACCCACTAAAGTATAAGTGTTATATTGACTGTTTTTATTTTTACTTCCCTAAATTTTCAGTCCTTTAGACAATTTTGCACTTGACTTGCTGAATCACTTTACATATCAATAAAATAAACTGGTTAACTTTTTTATTTAATCTGTTATCATCATATTATCTCTTTTTAAAAATGTTATAGATCAGATAACCTGATATACCTAATTTTGTTTACATTTTATAAAGCAAGAAAATATATGACACAGATATTAAACTCTCAATATGCCAAAATAACATTCTTTTTTTTTGCGATCTCATGTGGGATAGACAACCTGATGTGCATTTAAGACAGTTGTGAAATAATGTGTTCTTTATTATAAAAATGTGTGTCATATAGTTTATACCTTAACCAAACTGTGTTTTTTTATGTGGTAAAGCTTACACCTTAACCGAACATGTGGTATACAATGTAGCTTACATCTTAACCAAACTACTATGTTCCTTGTGGTACAGCTTACGCCTTCACCTAACTACTGTGTTCTTTTATGTGGTATACAATGTAGCTTACACCTTAACCAAACTTCTATGTTCCGTGTAGTACAACTTACGCCTTCACCTAACTATCGTGTTCTTTTATGTGGTATAGCTTACGGCTTAACCGACCTACTGTGTTCCAGGCATCAAAAAATATCTTTAGAGTCAATCGTCCTGCATGACAAGTAACTTATAAATCCAATCATAATTAGGAGCTGATGAGTGGAATTTTCAATCTCTGTGTTCTTTTATGTGGTATACCTTACATCTTTACCAAACTTAATTGTGTTCTTTTATATGGTATAGCTTACACCTTTACCAAACTTAATTGTGTTCTTTTATATGGTATAACTTACACCTTTACTGAACTGTTATGTTCTTTATATGGTATAGCTTACATCTTTACCAAAGTTAATTGTGTTCTTTTATATGGTATAGCTTACATCTGTACCAAACTACAGGTATTGTGTTCTTTTATATGGTATAGCTTACACCTTTACTGAACTATTGTGTTCTTTTATATGGTATAGCTTACACCTTTACCAAACTATTGTGTTCTTTTATATGGTATAGCTTACACCTTTACCAAACTAATGTGTTCTTTTATATGGTATAGCTTACATCTTTACCAAACTATTGTGTTCTTTTATATGGTATAGCTTACAGCTTTACCAAAGTATTGTGTTCTTTTATATGGTAAAGCTTACACCTTTACCAAACTATTGTGTTTTTTTTATGGTAAGCTAAAAAAAACTTTTACCAAAAAAAATTTTCCTCATTTTTCAAAATTTTAGTTGAAAAGCAAAAATTTAAAAATTGGGTATTATAATGGTCATTGGGCCTAAACCCCCTAATAAAAAAATGTACGATTCTTGTAAAATTTGGGCCTTTTCTATTACATCAAATTTCTGCCAAACTCTTTTTTAAAAAAATTTGGGGATAAACAGATAGAAATTTTGAACAATATTCATTTGGATTTTTTGATTTTTTTTTCAAAAATAAAATATAAAATTGAAAACCCAAATTAAAAGAAAACAAAATGTAAACTTTTTTAAAACCCTTTTCAAATTTTAAAACTTTACACATTTCAAAATGAATAAAAAGAAAACCCTTTAAAGGGGGCAGTATAAATTCCCAAAAGATAAACTGAAGGAGTTTTAATTTTTTAAAGTGAATTGAAATTAAACACTGTTTATTTACTTAGGGAATACTCGAAATGAAAGTAACATAGGAATAACAAACTTGGAATGCTCTTTCAAACTACCAAGTTTAACCTAAATAACCCCATTACCTTGTAGAAGAATAAATAGGAGACAAAGGAAAAAATAATTATATTAATGTTACATGGCATAAAAAAAAAAAGGGGATTTTAAAAGAGAAGGATGTCCCCGGTCATCGTAAATTACACTTAAATTTTTTATTTATCTGCCA